TTGTCAAAAGCACGTCAGAATAATTAGTTTATAAAAAGTATAAATTTTTTAATATTAACAAATTAAATTTATATTATCTAAATTGGTTATCAACAACTTTATTATAAATTTTGATAAATTTTAAAATTTTCAATTTGAATTTAAATTTTTAAATTTTAATTTTTAAAAAAAAATTAGAAAGTGTTAGTTAGGAGATTGTTTTTATTTTTAATATTATATTTATAAAAATAAAATATTTTTAAAAAATAATATGAAATTTAGGCTGTCAAAAGCACATCAAAATAATGAATTTAGAAAACTATAAATTTTCTAATATCAATGAATCATCTAAATTAAATTTATATTGTCCAAATTGGTTATCAACAACTTTATTAAAAATTTTGATGAATTTTAAAAATTTTACATTAATAAATATCAAATAAAGGTAAAAATAAAATTTGTAAATTTAGACTATTTAAAATTAACTACTACATGTATGCATCATGCATAAGGTTCTTCATTTTTTCAAAATGATTTTACACATGTAGAACATGCATGTTACTTACAATCATTTAACGCCACTTTCAAAAATATTAAATTTGCGTCAAAGAGTTTAAAATATCAATCATGTTTTTAAAATGACAATTTCAATTAATATGTAATTAATATCTAATTATATAAATTAGGTTTTTCCTGATTGCCTCAAACCTTTGAGAGGTTAAATATTTATCCTTAAATAAAAATTCTTTACAGGCTATACCAAAGCTTCGATAGTGCACAAGATAATTAATTTACAATTAATCATATTAATCATTATTAATATCATCATAAACACTTTTTTAGCTTCTATAAATCAATACATTAATTATTCAAAATTTCAATCTCTTACTTAAGCATAACCATTATATTTATTAATTTTTATCAACTTCATTTAGGTTTTATTAGCTTAAATAATCACTAATTTAACACCTAACAATCTAAAAACACACCTTGGAGGTTTAAAGTTTGCCCAAAATGGATGAGCCGAGCTTACAAGCTTGTAAAAACTTATAAACTATGTGTATAATACTTAAACAACTTTTATTAATCTTTTTAGACTAATGGGTTTATATCTATAACCTTAAATCCGAAAATCATCTTCTCCTAACCTTAAATCTCACTTCAAAAATATGTGGAGGGAAGAAAAAGAAATAAGGAAGGCATACCCAATGAAATCAAGTTTCAAACACCTTAGAAATGCTTAAAAATTGATGTTATAGTAGAGAAAATACTCAGCTGGTTACCTCCTCGTTGTTTCTAGTCCCACTCTCTATTTTTGAACTAATTTTGTTGCTTTTTTTTTAACTAATTCAAGAAATTATGTTGCAGCATGACTCATAATGCCTAAAAACCTAATTTCTCTATACAATTTGAGCTCAAGTGAATCAATTTACTTTGAGCCCAATTCAAAAACTAAAGCTAAGGCCAATAACTATTTCTAATTATCATTAAACCTAATTATACTTAAATTTACACAATTATCCTTCAATGGATTCATAATTCATGAGAAAATTTTTCTAAGATATTACATATCCTGCAGCTAATGATATGTCATGTTAATTATATACAGTCCACAAATTCATTGCACGGCTTCTTAATTTTCACTGATTAGTTGTATATACTAATCCACTCGATCTCTTGAATGCACAAGCTGATATAGAAAGGTAAGTTCAAATAGTTATTAAGTATGGAAGTTATTAGCCTTAACTAGTTGGACCATCACATGCATGTATTCCAAAGCATTCTTCGCTTTCTCTTGTAATTTGCACAGTATCCATTTTGATGTTTAGAGATTATGTTGGTGGACCTATAATTTTGATTCCGACTATCCCAAACTTAATAAGCTCTGAGGATATGGTGATAGTTCTAGCATAAGAGTGTCTCTTGTTTCATCTATTAGTGTTTTCGGATTTAAGAGATATAATAAGGAGAGATGTTTAGAAAGAATGAATTGAAGAGGCAGAGAAGAGGATAGAAATTAGAAGTCAATCATCAATTAGAGCTTGTGTGTAATGTATTTGCGAGTAATTTATAGTGAATGTTGAATAGTGTGCGCGATGGATGTGCAAGTTAGAACTTTGAAGATGCTTGGCTGGTTTTTACTTTCCTTATTAAATATGAAGAAGTTGAAGAATATAAGAAACATTACAATTTACAAGAGACGGGTAACAAAAATTGAAACAAACCAGCCACGTTGGATCCACAAGGTGGTTTTGACCAAGCAGCTGGTTTTCTTTCAGCCAACACAACGATCCAAAAGGACCAATTCAATGTAGCACATGCCATAATTAAAACTGTTAAACTCACGTGTTTAAGTAATTTCATGATAGAAATATAAAATTATATCACAAATTCATATTGTAATTTTGTAAGAGTTTATCTCTATTAATAAATGGTCATTAAAATATAATTATAATTTAATTTAAATATATTAAAAATATAAATTATTGAAATTAAACCCATCTACATTGCTAGATTATCACATACAAGACATTAAAATTTTAAAATTGGTATTTATATTTTCTTTTTTATTAATATTAGTTTTTGCATATCAATTTTTTTTTAACTAGGTCTTATAATTTTTATGAACTGAATTTTTTATAGTATATATTTAACTTGCTCAACTAAAAAAAATGATAAACTTAATAAGTTTAACTATGCTTGCATTTAGTTCGAGTTTATAAATTCATTAACACAATTTTATAAGTTAGAAAAATAAAGATAATAAGCTCAAAGATAAATTTATGAGTTTAATTAAATTTATATTTAATCTAAACTTATGAATGAATTAATACAATTTTATAAACTGAAAATATAAAAATATTAAACTCATAAAAAAGAATTTCGCGACTCCTTGCCTTAAAAAGTCATATCGAAATAGCTTAATTTTTGGACGGCCTCGCCTTTAAACTTTATATGTTTTTTTTGATATATCACTCTGTGCAAGACTTGGCTAATACTTTTGAATTGAAATTTTTATAATATATACTTAATGCACTCAACTTTAAAAAAAATTGACAAATTTAATAAATTTAACTAAGTTTGTATCTAATTTGAGTTTATAAATTAGTTAACATAATTTTGTAAGTTAAAAATATAAAAATAATAAACTTACAAATAAATTTATGAGTTTAATTAAATTTATATTTAATCTAAATTTATGAATAAATTAATATAATTTTATAAATTAAAAATATAAAAATATTAAACACGTAGAAAAAAATTCTACAACTCCTTGCCCTAAAAGGTCATATCAAAATAGCTTAATTTTGGACGGACTCGCCTTTGAACTTTATATGTGCTTTTGTTGTATCACTCTGCGCGAGACTTGGCTAATACTTTTGAGAGGTTACCAAAAAAAAAAAAGTTAAAAAAATTGGTTTTTCCTGAAAAGCTATTATTTTCTGTACGAGGAAAATATACTACTGCGATTTTCAGTTTGGCAACAAAAAGTCATGCATAAAAAATAACAATTATATTTTTAAATAAAAATAAGATTATTTTAAAATTATTAGACTATTTTGCTATAAACGTGCAAGCTGGCCGCTACCGTCCTGCGTGACTTTTAATAATTAGTGCTCACAGGAATATTCATGAAATAATGAAATTTTTACTTATTCAAGTGACTTCGGTTATCAATTTAATTATTTAAATTTTGGCTGTCACCCATGTCAGCCAATTTTAATAATATAAATGCTTTTTAAAGCAATAAAAGTCAAATGAATAATCGAAATAAATTTAAGAAACTTAATTAATTAAAATTAAATTTAAGAGATTGAATTGATAATTGAGACAAACATAAAAGATTGAAAGTTGCATTATTCCCATATTAGTTTTTTTTGGTCAAACATTATTCCTATATTGATTAATTACAATATTTGTGTGAGAATATTTATTATTTAATCGATAAAAAATATAAACGATCAAGGAACGAACATATGATTTGGTGAACTTGAGGTACACTACAGTTAATTAATGACGATTTAATCAGAATTATTTATTAAATACATAGAATTAATACAAAAATTCTGGCAAAAAAATGCAAACAAATTTAAACTTGTGATGTCCGAGAAGCTAAATGAGAAATAATTTTGGGAAGAAGCAAATTTAAAAGGAAAAAAATTGTGATTTGATTATTTATAGTCAGCATGGGCCACAGGCCCACAGCGGAGTGCGGACAACGCTTCTGGGCGCGAGAAGGCCGGGGGGACGAAGGAAAGGACGAGAAAATTAAAAGAGGGATGGAGAGCTGATTAAAATTGTTCTTATTTTATTATTTTAAAAATTAATATTTTATAAAATATATTTTAAAATAAAAAATATTAAAAATATGTATTTTTTATTTTTTAAAATAATAATCACAAATCACTTAAAAGTTATTTTTATTTTTTATTTTTTATAATAATATTTTATTTTTTTATTCTTCAAAACACTTTTTAAAAACATCTTATTAAATATTTTTTTTATTTTAAAAAAATAAAAATTATTTTTAAAATAGGTTTTTAAACAGGTCTTTTATTTTTTTTTTTTTTTTTGGAGCAAAGAAGGGATGGAAAATTGGGAAATGACAATATTGAAATTGGCTTCTCTCCATTTCCTCCCCTCTTCATTTTCTTTTTACTTTCATCTCAATTATTGAATTTATTTTTGAATGATTGAGATTTGATATTTTATAAAATTATTATTATATTTATTTTTTATAAAATTTTATATTTGAATAATAATTTTATAAAATATTAAATTTGAATCATTAAAAAATGAATTTAATAATTGAGATAAAAAGTGAAAAAAAAAATAGAAGAAAAAAAATGGAGAGAAGTTGGTCCGGCAACGTTGCATTAGCCGAGTCACCGCAGAAACGAAACAAAGCTCACTCGTTCTACTTTACTCTCGTATCACCACGTGGCAAGATATTCACCTCTCCAGTCACCAGCGGGGCCTCAACATCCAAATAAAGAACGGGGTAGTACGAGGCCGAAAGTAAAAACCACCTGTGGCCCGGGGCATTAATTCATGGATTATTGGTTATTGAGTTCCAATCCCAGACAGGAATAATCCTGGCCATCTAACCAAAGCAGGATTCGAAACGCTGGTGCTGGTCCGGATCCTTCCATTGCCACCTCTCCCTTCCAGAATCTTTCGCGCTCGCCGAACCGATTATACTTGTAATGCCGCTTTTTTTAATGCTTGCAGTTACAAGATGAGAATCTCTGTTTCTCTTTTTCCCTCGACTTTCTTCTCTCAACCTGGACCGCTTTTTCCTTCCCGCCTTCGTCTCGCTTTTCGATTCTACTCCCATCGCCTTTTCGATTCTACGCCGTTTGCCTTTCCAGGTTCGTTTTCATTTCCTCTGTCCTTCGCTTGCTTTCTTCATGCTTCTCGCATTATGCTCGCTCCAACTTCTTCTCTGAGGCTTTGAAGTTTTCATGTGTTGTCTCGTTGTTTATTCTCGTTCTTTAGATCCTTACGCTAGTGATTTTAAAGTAGGGCTGCAGAGACCGATATGGTGGGAATTTTAGTTACTAGGAAGATAGAGAAGTTCTGTTCTTGATCCATAAGTTGAATTTTTAGGTATTTGTTGGAGCATAGCTTGGGGGATCCTTAGAGTCGGAACATAGCTTGGTGCATTCTGCTCTGTAATTGTTTCGCCCCGAAGGTAAGATGTCCCGAGTTTTTCTTGCGAGGATGGGGTTAGTGTTACTTTCGTTTTTTTTTTTTTTTGGTGTAATTAGTGTTAGTGTTTATTTCTTTTGAGGTTCATTTCAATTCGTCGTTTCTTCTGGTATTTATTCACTATGCACTGAATGGCGAGAGAATATAAGGCTTCAGGGCTGATTAATTGGCCAAATCTGTATTAAATATGAAATATCTGTTCACTTCATCGATGAGCTAGACTGAACTATTGCAACTAACATGGCGCAGTGGTTCCATGTTGAAGAAAGTGAAGTCGCATGCTATGTTTATGTGACCTTTCTATATTGGTGGAAAACATGTACCATAGTTATTCTTTACATATGATTTATATGTAATGGTTTGGCCACAAAACCTCTAATCGTTGCCATTTGTTGTCGCCTTGATTGAATGCTTATTGTAGAGTGTAGCTAAGCCTGTTTCATGTTCAGAAAACCAGAGGCAGACGCAAGAACAAATGTCCTATTTGATCTTGCCTTTTATGGGAAGTATTTGGCAAGACTTGACAAACTCAATTGTATTTAGATTTGCTGAATCTAGGAAATGTGATATATTTACTAATATATTAGGTTGACATTTCATTTGTTCCAAAGTCATTTCCAATTATTACTGGAATATACATATCTTTTTGTTGATCATATTTTCAGGTGCTAATCAGTTGCATGCTCAATATTCAATGAACACAAACCCCAAAAATAAAGCACATTTGCCTGACAGTTGTCATGGGAATAATTCACGGACATGGTCATCAATTTCTAGACGTGGGTTTAAACCTGATATAGCCAAGCAGATTTTTTGTAATCGGTCATTGAATATGAAGAACATTGTTGCTGTGGGATTTGACATGGATTATACTCTGGCACAGTACAAGCCTGAAACTTTTGAATCTCTCGCTTATCAAGGCACAATTAAAAAGCTGGTTTCTGATTTGGGATACCCTCAAGAGGTCTGTCAATTTTGTCTTGTAATATTTAATATGGTTGACTATTTTTCTTTCTTTTCTTCGCTGCCCAATGATAGAATCAGTGTCAATGTCATGATTTGTGTTATTTTAAAGATCCAGCCAATTCCTTTTGGTTTGCCTGGAATTCACTTGTCGCTTCTTTAATCTGACGTACTGAAATATAATAATAAGAGGATTTGTACTTACCAGTTTCTCTGTAGATACAGACAATCTGTATTGGGCAGCATCCTTGCTAAAATATCTCAATCTGCTGCAGTTACTAAATTGGTCATTTGACTGGAAGTATATGGTTAGAGGCTTGGTTCTTGACAAGAAAAGAGGCAACATCTTAAAGGTTTAGCTTGGATAGATTTCTTCCTCCTGCCTTGTAAAACACTTACCCCAAAAAGCAAGGCTGCAAACCTCTGTTTTTTTTTAAATCTCTTTTTGATTGTTAAATTTCTGGCTGTGTATTTAGATGGATCGCCACAAATATGTGAAAGTAGCCTATCATGGATTTAAAGAATTGTCAAAAGAAGACAAAGTTGCGATTTATGGAAATACTTTAGTCCGTGATTCTTTTGATGAGCCTGACTATGCTCTAATTGATACGCTATTTTCACTTGCTGAAGCCTACTTGTTTGCCCAACTGGTTGATTTTAAGGATGAGCATCCTGGAAAGATTCCAGAGGGTGTTGAGTAAGTCTTCCTCTTCTTTGCGTGACTGTCCTTTTGACAAGTTCGTGCTCTCCAGCTCTCTAATTTTTCCTGTTGGATTTTTCTAAACAACTTCACATGCTTTCAATCCGATTTTTAAAATTAGTCGTCAGAACATAATCATTATCCATGGAATGGTCATTTGAACAATTTCCTTGGGCACTAAGCCTGCTCCTACTTAGTACAAAATACTAGTAAGATTAAATAGCTACTGCCTTTTTCTTTGTGGACAGTGGACATTTGAAAATAAAACCCCACTAAGAATGGCTATGAGATGTCTTAGTTGTTTGTCTTCCTTTTTATCAAAAGAAAGAAAGAAAGAAAGAAAGGAATGGCTGCGGAGATTAGTATTATCACACTGGTAGATTTTGCTAGTACCATTGCAATTTATGCCTTGTACCTGCAATTGAACGAGCAATCTGTATATTTTATTTGCAATTATTTTTCCAGTTATGCTTGTATGTACAAAGATGTTCGAGCTGCAGTTGATTTGTGCCACCGAGATGGAACATTGAAGCAAATGGTTGCCGAAGATCCCAAAAGGTAAGAATATAAAGTGAGAAGCATATTGAAGTAAATGAGGGGCTTATACAAAGGAAAGGAAAGGAAAGGGACAAATTATTTCTGACTTGAAAGAGCTGGAGTTAATTAAAAGTTGTTTCTCCCTGAAAAATGTATTCTCAATGCATGCCTGTTGAAACTATTCTAACTTGGAAATTTCATTTTTGTCTAAACTCACTATGTTAGATATATAAATGGAGACATTGGCATTGTGCCGATGCTTCAATTGCTCAGAGATTCTGGACGTGCTACATTTTTGGTGACAAATAGGTAGTTATGATTCTGGATCTGCTGCATTCTTTTTGACAAACAGTAGAGTGTGTTGTCATATTTATTATAAAATGAGGATGGAGGTTTGAGATGATGTTGAAGAAACTATTATTAATTGATGTCTGACAACATACTCATACGATATTTTTTCTCTGCACAAATATTTAACTAATATTTCACACGCTTACTTTTATATCTGCAGTTTATGGGACTATACAAACATTGTCATGAATTTCCTTTGTGGATCTAGTGAAGGAGAGGGCAGTACCAATTTTGGCTGGCTTCAATACTTTGATGTTGTCATCACTGGCAGGTCATGCTTCTTTTCACACCTGGAACTCTACCTTGTAATTTGCTATATTTGTCTAGTCCAATCACTCTGCCTCAGTTGACTTTCTTTCACGTGGTCATATCATGGCATTTGGATTTTAATAATGCTAACTCTCGAGGGGCTTTGTTATCATTCTGACAAGTGAATTCCTTTTGCTTAGCCTGACAGTACAACATTCCTTCCTTTAATGACTCTTCCTATGATATATATATATTTTTTTAGAGTAGTTCCTGACTTACTGGAAAATCCAAACATCTTCTGTGTTGCAAATTTGAAGTCCATTTCTAAGCTAGGAAATTGTGATTATGTTTCTTACAGCTTGCAAATTACGTAAGTAGTGTATCCATACTAACCTGATCAAGCCCTGCTTCCAAACAGTGCAAAGCCAAGCTTTTTTCATGAGGAGAATCGAGCTAACCTATTTGAGGTTGAGCCTGGGAGTGGAATGCTAATTAATACAGATAATGGCTCTCCCATGCCTCAGGTTAGGACAATGGCACATCAAGTCATTGTATAATTTTTACTCATGTCTTTATTAATCACATTTTAATCGAGTCATCCTCCTTTCTTTTTTTCTTGGTAAAAGGTGGGTAACATCTCTGCGAGGTTATACCCAAAAGACAATGCCCATGCTCCTAAAGTTTTCCAGGTACATTAATCAGCACCTTCTGCTTTATATTCCTTTTGGTTTATGACCTAAGGAATTCAGTTGTTATTTGGATACTGAGCCTGTAATATACAAATGTATATCATTTCAGTAGATACATAGTGATTATGAACTTACATTTTAGGGAGGCAGCGTGGGCCACCTCCATAAACTACTTTCGATTGAATCAAGTTCACAGGTAAAGTTTTCCTTCTATGACAAAGTTGATCGCATAATTGAATGATATTAACTTACATCATGAATTCTGTTTCTTGTTTGAAATTCTGATTATTTTCATCTGAGATGACAATTGTGGATTGTGCAATGCCTGTTCAAGGGATTGGTGGCTGTATTAATGTTTCCTGAAATATCTTTATACTTTATTTATGCAGGTTCTGTATGTTGGGGATCACATTTATGGAGATATATTACGTAGCAAAAAGGTTCTTGGTATACTATATTTATCCTTCTCGCTTTCTTCTAACAAATAGATTTCTGCATTTTAATTCTATATGGCAGTAGACTTTGGTGTTTCTTTTGATTATCATCTTTACGAGAATCAACATCACTGGAAAGTTAAAGAAATGGCACGTATGGAAGCTTTAATGAACAAGTCCTATTAATATCATTGCTTTCTTTATATGTGTTGCGAAACAGTAAAGTACATGGACAGAAAACCCCACCTTCTCCGCAGAGGTTCTTGTGCATGTGTGTGATTTAGTGAATTTTGATTTAGTTTTGATGTTCACTATGAGCAGGATGGAGAACAATGCTAGTAGTCCCAGAGCTTGAGAAGGAGGTTGAACTCCTCTGGGAATTGAGAAAAACCCGCAAGGTGCTTATTATCTCCATCACTTTTGACAATGTTATTTATTGTATCCGTGATGTGCAGATTTTGTCGAGTCTTAATAACAAAACTTGGAAGTTAATCTTTATCTAAATCTGGACAAGGATTTCGTTCAAATTAGATAAAGCCAAGAAGGAGAATCTCCAAATAAAGAGTCAGGAATCATTCCTATCCATTCCTCAATTAACTTACAATTAAATAACACCATGAAGTAGCAGTTACAACTGTAACTTGACAGCACACACAAACTGACATCTTAAAACTTGACAACTCAACATTCTTAAGATAAGAAACATAAACTGCAATATTAAAATACCAACAGCAATAAGAAGTAGTTACTCAGCATGAATAACTCCCGTATCAACTAACTTCATTGCTGTATTTTGACTTAAATCCTTCTTCCATCTTTTATATACCAATAATGGACTTCTATCAGTATCCCCCCTTTAAAAACGGCCTTGTCCTCAAGGCTGAAATCGGGAAATTGGTCCCGAATCAGGTCATATTCCTCCCAAGTTGATTCATCTTGAGGATGGTCAAGCTAAGGAACAAGTATTTCAAGGATGTTGGAGCTGCCTGATGAAATCCAGCGATTAGAAAGGACACTATGAGGTTGTAACTTAAGCTCTCAAGTGTCTGAAAGTGGTAGAAGAGGTGGTGTGGAGGGAGAAGGAGTGCCATGAGCAGGGCACAGCATTGAGACATGAAAAATTTGATGAATTTTGGCATCAGGAGGTAGGAGCAACTCATAAGCAATAGGTCCCACCTTACAAACAATCTGGTATGGGCTAAAGAAGCGAGGAGATAGCTTCTCATACTTTTGCTTTGCTAAATTGAATTGGCGATAAGGCCGGATTCTTAGATAAACCCCGTCCCCTTCCTTGAAGCAAATATCATGTCTGTGAGCATTAGCTTGAGCTTTCATTCTGGATGGAGCTTTGAGGAGGTTATCCCAAATAATTTGCAACATGGCGTCTTGTTCTGAAGTTGAGTTTCTAAATCAACGACTTCGGTTTTACCAGACGCATAAGGGAGAACAGGTGGAGGGGAACAACCATAGACAATCTCAAATGGAGTGAAGCCTATAGCAGTATGAAAGCTGGTATTGAAAGAGTACTCAGGCCAAGGAAGATACTTACTCCATAATTTCCGTTGTTCATGTGCAACACAACATAAATAGGTTTCGACACAACGATTGACCACCTTTGTTTGTCCATCACTTTGTGGGTGATAAGCTCTACTCATTCGGAGTTGAGTGTGACTAAGACGGAAGAGTTCTTGCTAAAAAGTACTTAGGAAGACTGGATCTCGATCTGAAATGATGGAAGTGGGAACACCATGAAGTCGGACTACTTCATGACTAAAAATGGCAGCGATGGACTTGGCAGTAAAAGGATGAGAGAGGCCAATACGATGAATTTATTTGCTAAAACGGTCAACTATAACAGATATGGTATCTATTCCACATGACTTAGGTAATTTGGCAAAAAGTCCATGGAAATATCTTCCCAAATATGATGTTGAGGAGGAATAGGCTGAAGTAATCATGCTGGAGACAAAGTCTGACATTTTGAAATTTGGCACTCATGGCAATCTTAAACATGCAACTTGACATCTCGCTTCATATGAGGCCAAAAGAAATGAGTTTGTAATCGTTTGAGAGTACGAAGGTATCCTCTGTGCCCTCTTATAAGAGATGAATGAGGATCTGCCATCAACTTGGATTTAAGAGTAGGATGATCAAGAATGACTAAACGCCCATCATAAAACAACTTCCCATTGACCAAAGCATAATGTTGAACAGTAGTAGGATCTTGAAGAATGGAATTCTTAATGTGTTGAGTGGAAGGATCTTGATCAATCCATGCTTTATGTCATCAAAATCTGTACTATATGGAATAGCAAGAGCCATGAAATCAGCATGTTGAGGTTGGTGTGAAAGAGCATCAGCACCACTATTATTACAGCCACTCTTATGTTTGATGGTAAAATCAAAGGGTAACAACTTCATTATAAGCTGTTACTGATCCGGAGTTGAAAGTTGTTGATCCATTAGATATTGAAGACTATAATGGTTAGTATAGATGTCAAAATGGCAACCAAGGAGATAATGATGCCACTTTTGCAAAGCTAACACTAGAGCTAATAATCCTGTGTCATAAGTAGATTTGACACAATTAGAAAATGTAAACCCTTTGCTGAAGTAGGCAATGAGATGAGTATCTTGGATAGGAATGGTACTAATGCCTAAAGTTGAAGCATCACATTCTACGATGAAGGTCTTGTTGAAGTCTAGTAAATGGAGAACAGGGGCATCAATTAATGCATGTTTGAGTTTTTAAAAAGATTGCTTTGCCAAAGAAGACCAATGAAAAACACCCTGTTTGGTGAGGTCATGTAACGGAGGAGCAAGTTGGCTATAATGATGCACAAATCTTCTATAATAACCAGTAAGACCAAGAAATCCCCTCAATTCAGTAACATTAGTTGGATTAGGCCATTCCAACATAGCTTGTATCTTAGACGATCTATAGCAACCTCTCCAGATGAGATGACATGCCCTAAAAAATCTATCTGAGGTAGACCAAAAGAGCATTTCTTCCCATGAGCAAAATAAGCATCTTCTTGTAGTCTTGAGAGGACTAAACAAAGGTGTACCAGATGGTCAACCATTGTAGGATTATAGACTAGCATATCATTGAAGAAGACAAGAATAAAATGCCGTAGATATGATCGAAAAAGGTCATTCATAGTAGATTGAAAGGTAGCCAGAGCATTAGTGAGACTGAAAGGCATGACTGTAAATTCATAATGTCTCGAATGAGTCTGGAAAGCGGTTTTGTGAATGTCTTTAGTTTTAACTCTAATTTGATGATATCAAGAACGCAAATCAATCTTTGAGAAGACAGTAGCCCCATGTAACTCATCAATGAGTTCATCAATATTGGGAATGGGGTATTTGTTAGGAATAGTTAGCTTATTTAAGTCTCGGTGGTCAATGCAGAATCTTCAAGAATCATCTTTCTTCTTGACCAATAATACAGGGCTCGCAAACGGGCTTTCACTAGGTTGTATGAAACCTTTGGCTAGCCACCTGGCGTTCAATTTCATCCTTTTGGTAATGTGGGCATCTATATGGATGAATATTTGGCGGTGTAGCCTGAGGTTGCAAATTAATAGAATGGAACTTGTGCCGAAGAGGAGGAAGAGCCGAAGGAGTATCAAAAATAGAAACATACTCATCAAGAAGGTTTTGTAACGACTGTTGGAAGGCGTTTGGGTCTATAATAGGTTGTTGCGACATCGAACACAAACTTGCTTTTGCTTGGTTGCTAGTGGGACTCCTTGGAGCTTGTACCTTTTGCCATTGACTCAGAAAACCATGAACATCCGTTTCCAAGTTGCTTGAACTATATTCAAAGAAGGTAACCACTTGATTCCCAATACTAGATCAACACCACCTAAAGAGAAGGGAAAAAATTCCTCAATAATTTCCAATGATTGAACTCGTAAGGTGAATGTTAGGCTCTAACGGGACAGCAAGAGTATAAAGTTGGAGTAGCAGAGATGAGAATGTTACGATGGATGTGCGGACATACATGTAAAGATAAAATTCGAAATGAGCACGTACGTGAAAAAGTGAGGGTGGCATTTATTGAAGAAAAAATGGTAGAAAATTGGTTAAGATGGTTTGGGCATGTACAAAGAAGACCAAGGGAGGCACCAGTGAGAAGAGTGGAACATATAACTTTGAGTCCGATTAAGAGAGGTAGAGGAAGGCCTAAGAGAACACTCTTGGAAGTTGTTGAACGCGATTTCTTAATTAATAATATTCCTAAAAGCTTGATAAACGATAGAGCACAATGGCGTCTTGCAATCCATATAGCCAACCCCACCTAGTGGGATAAAGGCTTGTTGTTGTTGTTGTTGTTGTTGTTGAACTCGTAAGGTGACTTGAAGACATATTATTATTATGATAAATTATATGCCCATTGCCAATTTGAACTCCAAAAGAAGGAACCGTTTAGTAGAAATCTGCAAATTTTGCACCAATGTAAAGAGATGAAGTTGTAGGTGGAACCACTATCAATCAAAATAAGTACTTTATGATGATTTAGGATGCCTTCCATCTTCATGGTAGTACTCGCAGGGTGTCCTAAAATAGCATGAAGCAATATCTCTATATGTACTTCTTGTTCGCCTTCTAAGTTCAGTTCTTCAGACCTCTCTGCTTCTACATGGGTTCTTCAGTGATCTCCATAAGAGTCAAATTAGCATTTTTGTAGCAATGGCCTGGAATAAATTTATCACCACAATGGAAACAGAGTCCCTTATCTCGTTTAACTGTTTTTCTGCATCCTAGTTTGTGTTTGCGCGCTGTGAAAAAGTGGAGGAATTGGCTGAAGATTGCGCGGCTGCTGTACCTGTCGTGCGAGTGTCTTTTGAAGGCCACGTGGTTGTTGCGTGCATGCGACTGCCCTAGGAAGTTCCATAAGTCTTGGGAATTTTTGCATATTGTTATTTGGACTCATATTCTAAGGCTAATCTCAAGGCCTTGTAAACAGATCTGGGATTTTGAATTCTGACATCAGCTGGTAATTCTTGTTTAAGCCCATTAAGAAAAACCCCCAACGAACAATGTTCTGGCCAATTTTTTACTGTAGGAGATCTCTTTGCAAATTCCAACTGATACTCTTGTACTATTCTAGATTGCTTAATTCCACACAAGAATTCATCAGGTTCTGAAATTTTGTAGGACTGAAATTCTCTTGAAGAGTGCACATGAGATCTTCCCAATAAATTATTGAGCGTTCAGAAGTTGCCCTTGTGAAAAGATCTAATGCGTCGCCTTCTAAGCACATGACCGCAATATCAACCTTCACATCCTCGGGAGTTTGGTAGTATCTGAAATACTTTTCTGCTTTAAGTATCCAGCCTTTAGGGTCGCCTCCATCAAACTTTGGAAAATCAACTTTGGTATGTGGTCTCCTTGTGGGGTTTCAAAGCCACCAAGGTGTGTTTGTCTCATCTTCATCTACTGCAGAGTATGAGTTCTCGGGTTGTTTGCTTTGTTTTGAGAAGATTGCCCAGCATCATCTAAGATATGTTGCTGCTGTAATTTTACTGCTGCTATTTCTGTAGAAATCTCATCCACCACATTCAAACGAGAAGAAGTTGATTTAGTTGCTGGACTATAGATTCTAATAAATTAGAGGTTGTTGGAGGGACAGTGGGATCGATAGAACTGTTTCTAGTACTCACCATCTTTGGGGAAAATCAGGCTCGGATACCAAAATGTTAAGTCTTAATAACAAAACAGGGAAGTTAATCTTTATCTAAATCTGGACAAGGATCTCGTTCAAATTAGATAAAGCCAAGAAGGAGAATCTCCAAATAAAGAGTCAGAAATCATTCCTATCCATTCCTCAATTAACTTACAATTAAATAACACCATGAATTGGCAGTTACAACCGTAACTTGACAGCACAGACAAACTAATATCCTAAAACTTGACAACTTAGCATTCTTAAGATAAGAAACATAAACTGCGGTATTAAAATACTGACAGCACATAAGAAGTAGTTATTCATGCTGAATAACTTCCTTATCAACTAACTTCATTACTGTATTTTGACTTAAATCCGTCTTCTGTCTTTTATATACCAATAATAGACTTCTATCACATTTGGTGTAAGATTTTTGCATGAATATTTTTGTGTAGGAGCTTCAATCCCTGAGGAGCGTGCGTGATCGGATTGAGGATAAAATACATCGTCTAAAGTGGTCTCTCAAGTTAGTACAGCTATGGACCCATTATGACATGTTTATTATCTGTCTGCTAAGAGGGTAGGGTTTCATTTTCCAGATTCGAGAATCTTAATTCTGATGCTGAGCAGCAGTTGTCTTCAGAACTTTCTAGATTGGAGGTTAGGCCTTCAGATCAATTCTCCTTTCAATAATCGTGGAAGTTGAATAACAGATTGGATTCTAAGTGGCTTCTGTTAACAGCTTGAAAGAGAGAAAGCTCGATTAAGTCATCAAGAGGCTCAGCGAAATTTTCACCTCAAGGTAGCTCGTTGATATCTTCCTTATTCCATTATCTTTTACTTCTTGGACCTGTCTGGTACAAGTTTTCAATCAACTTGGAACTGGAGAGGCTTACTTTCTATAATAATCTTAAATCATTGCAGTTCCATGTGCCATGGGGCCAACTAATGAAGACCGGTTATCTGAGCTCTCGCTTTGCTCATCAGGTAAAACCTTACCTGACTTTTTTGTGTAGGCCGCCTTGGGACTTGTGAAAATCTATTCATCCTAAATTTAATCTAATTTGTAATGCCTTAAAACTAGCTTTCTCCATGTGATCTGCTTAATGTAGGTTGAAAGATTTGCGTGCCTCTATACTAGCCAAGTATCCAACTTGGGCTTGTACTCTCCAGACAAATACTACAGGACCAGTGAAGATTTTATCGAGCATGATTTTGGAATTTTTGTTTTTGAGCCTCGGTGAATGGAAGATTAGAAAATCGTGCGCTGCATTGCTTCTGTGGAAAGCTGCAATCTGTTCGGCTGCCATGTTATACTACCCTCTTGGAGTAGCTCGTTTCAGTCGTATTTTTTTTTTTTTTCTTTTGGACGAGTTTTAGTCGTATTCACACCAAGTGTGGGATGACGGCATCATTAAACCGGAGATTCAGGCATTCCAAATCAAGCTTTTTAGCAGATTAGGGTATGCACATAAATGTTCTTCCCCTTTCTTTTATCACCGCATTATATCACATCAACAAAAAGAAAAAAACAGAATAAAAAAACTCTGGAAACCCTTTATGACTTGCATTTTACTCTTTTAATTGGTGGTATACGCGTGCATCATCCTTTTGGTCTAAATGTAGCGGCAGTAGCTTGCTTTGGAAACCAAAAAATAGTGTACTAGATAAAATCTTAAAAGCCATGTAGAGCCATCTCATGTTGAAATGGTGGGGAAAGGTGTGAGTAATACTAGTCGTGAATTCAAACAGTCTCCCAATAGGAAAAAATTATGAAGACTTTTAGTTTATGTACGTGCAACTTATACACTGAGAGTCTAATGATTCATTTTACTTTGTATCATAACCTTTCTATTCAAATTCCACTTCTGTTTGAAATGTAGACGTAATTTTCTTGAAACAAATTATTTCACATTTCAATTATTTTATTTTTTATCAGAATATTTTTAAAAAATACTAATTCAAATAGATTAATGAGTATTTTTGTCACGCAAACATAAAATAAGATTGACGTGTAGGCTGACTTATTTTTTAAAAAGATACGTATATTCGGGAAGTTTAAAATTTTAAATAAAATTTAAAATATTACTATAATTTATTTAATTATTTTTCACCATTAAAGGGATAAGGGTTTCTTTTATTTATTTTGTTTTTGGTTTTGGTCGACAAGATTGGTGCTTCGTACTGTGTAAGTCTATGAGCGGGCCCATTAAAAATGCTAAATCCATAGCAAGAAAGAGCTATATGTTGGCAAAACCAAAAGGATCATTTAAAAAAATGTACATATACACAGGGAGAGTCAGCTATGAACTTTCGGAAAATAAATAAATGTACCCGTATTGGACATGTTGTGATATGTGCGTATCGTAGTCCGTTGGTGTGAGTACACATTCGTCCATGCTATGTTGTTCCCGTCTGTATCGCTTTAATTTTGACAAAAAGGTAGTATCGTTCTTGGTTTTTAAGGGCCAACAGGGAAAGAGTCTCATTGTATTTGTAATCTAATAATACAATACTTTTAACATTTTTTTGCTCAATGGTGATTCTGTATGCAATTACTTCTTTAATCACGCCTCTAGACAATTATTTAACTGTATATGTCTCCATATTTATATCCTTTTTTTAAAAAAAAAATCATATTCTATATATTGCTCCCTTAGTTCCTAGTTTCCTATACATAAAGATCTACCATTAATTATCTCATGTATCCTTACTTTTAACTACCTCACTGAAATAAGGAAAGAAGTTGCCCCGTTAAAAGGTCTTACAATTGAAATTTCTATATTTATTTTTAATTAGCACCATGCATTTAAAAAGACATACATAAAGGGAAAATCTTATAGATTCGCACGGGCATTTTTGGGGGAAAAACATTGTATATTTCTAAAACTTAAACAAAATAACTTATATTTAGGATAACAGGATTATCAAAACAAATTAGTTATTAAAACGAAAAAGGCCTTATAAAAAGGATCAGGAGTGTATTATATAAGTGCATCATCGCCCTTATCGGTAATAATGAAACATGGAAACATTGCTATTGCCTCTTGTTCTTCTGGGTTTCAACTCCAGAATGAACAAAAGAAGCATCGCGTTTCATGCCACGTCTTGCACTGTTGACTTGCCAGTTCACACACTACGACTGTCACTAGGACAGAACAGATGCGAGAATCCCATAAAGTATCTTTACGTGCGAGAATCTACCTATCTCATCATGTATCGTGAACAAGGTTGCGATTGGACATGTTATCTACGAATACAACGTATCATATCGTCACTGGACTACAAGATTCTACTATACTATAAGCCAGATTTTCTCCCAAACATGTATCTGATATAGCTGTCCTGGGATGTAACTGCTGAGAGGTGAAGATTTCCAAAAGCTTCTCTGATTGCCTCAAGATACTCACGCAAACATATTTCTGCTCAGTTTTCATGGAAGGTGTCACCGGCCAAAAAAAAAAAAAAACTTGATCTATCTTGACGGAATTATTGAGTCGACATCAGAATTTTATCTTTAGGGGCTAATGACTTTCTCCTTTTTTATCTTATATTCCCCCAGCATCATCGCGATTTGAGATGGCCTTGTTGGAGGCCAACCAGTTGATTGAAACTTGACTGGAGCAGGGAAGAGGGCATAATATGAGTGTTTTAGACCCAGAATAAACGCTTTCAACTTGTATATGCAAGGGACCGCACTCAAAGAAAAAGCCATCCTTTAGATTTTGGACGATGTTGGCAAAGAACAAACGAGCCCCTGGTGATTGGTCCATAGATATCGAGATATAGTGAGAAAGAAACTTGCATGACACGGATTTCTACTCTCTCACGCACACGCATGACGCATATATATTCGTAAATCATTTGTTGCTGCTGCAAATCTATAGAGGACATGATATATAACAACATCGATCATCATTTATGCCTTGCCTCTGAGATCGCAGAGAATCAACTCATCATGAACCGGTCCTTGAGTTTGATATTGGATTGACCACTCATTTTGTGTATATGCCTATTAGGGTCAATTGCACCAGTGGTAGTGTGGTGTTAGCAGGGGCGGACCCAGCTTTGGATTACCGGGGGGGGGGGTGGAAGTTAGAGTTGCTAACCATATATATCACCTAAATCCCAAAATGAACAAGTAGGAAATTATGCAAATTCTTCTCCTGTTTATTTTGTTTTGGAGCATATCTGGATTGGTAAAAAAAAATTATACAAGTGTGGGAATATGTGATGCATATCTAACTAATATGGGGAGCTCTACTCATTTGAAGCATAAGTGCAACATTGAACGAATGTAAGGAATGAAAGTATCAGTAATGAACAAACATATATTCATCAAATTTACACAAATAAAGGATCATGGGTAAGTGTTGGAACTTGGAATTAAAAAAGAAGAATCTATTGTCAGAGAGAGGCATGAGAGAAGTAGTGTGAGATTGTTGGAGGAGAGGAGTAGGGTGAGGAAGATGTTGACGTTATTTTGATTCACTCTTTTGCTTGCCCAATCAGCTATCTCATTATCAGCCCATTCGGTCAAGTTTATGCAGCTCCATGTCCTATTGCATTGGAGGAAAAAAACAGTTGGGGGGGGGGGGGGCCAAGGCCCCCACCATGCACAACGTGGGTCCGTCCCTGGGTGTTGGTGAAAGATACAAGCTACTGATTCGTTTTGACTAGTTGTATCAGAGCATCAAGAATTTGGAATCCGAGCGTGGAAGTATCTCCAAAACATCTGGTTACTAATGAGTGCAGGGGCCCTATAATTGCAACTTGTATAGGCAGTGGAAGGGGAATTATCATAAATCTTGTGAAACTGAAATGGAAGCTATTCACACATAATTTTGGCTCCCCGGATATGCGTGGATGATAAGGATTCTGTGTTATCAGCATCGCTGCCTTACATTCCATATATTTTATCCTTGGACCATCCAAGAAATACAGATAAGTTTCTCCCCCAGTTACTTGAAACCCATTTCTTAACAGCTTCAATCAGAAAGACGCCATTAAGTTACCAGTATATCGTCGTGTTATAAGCTTTGTTACATTATAACCTCGTCAAACGAGATAAAAGTGACTCCAAGGTTTACATATATTGCTGGCCACATAATATTTTTTTATGGTCGCTTTCACTCTCAATGGGAAAGAGATAATACAAGTTTAAACGAGGGTGCTTTCGGTCGCCCACATCGTGAGATAAGAGATCATATAATTATATGCTTTGGTGAAACAGATTGAAAGCCCCACATGCTTAACCTTTGAGGTTCACTTTGGAAGCACATAGCCTTTTAGCCTTAAAGAAACGTACAGCTAGCCATGTCTTGCTCTGGCAAGAAAACAAGCTCTCTGCTGTGTTAGAGTAAGTCTAACAAGAAGCTCTCTTTTTCTTTTGTTCGAGAAACAGTAACCAGAAATAATTTTGATTTATGGGGTATCTATATGTAGGACCAAACGGCACTCTGAAATTTGTTCAGAATTGTACCCTAAATAAAATAATGAGCTGTCCGGATCAACAAAATGTACATGTAGGACTGGGAGTAGGAGGAAGGCAGAGCTCAACATGGTCTTTGGAATATTGCAGAGAAAGATGAGAGTAATAAGGATTGAAGCAGAATACGTCCGGAAGACAAGAAAATGCGCAGCTTTTGGCTTTTAAATCACATCATTTATGTTTGTATTCATAGACTGGCACATTATTATTAGTGTGGTGAAAAATGACTCTTCAAGGAACTTTATCATCTTATATTTACTATTATTATTTGCTTTTCCCTGTCTTTTTCCTTTCTTGTACGAAACTGTACACATTTTCTTTTATAGATATAGAAATCCAAATTGCTGGGCATGTGGATGGTGTGAGAGCTCCCGTTGGCGCTTATGGCGTGATATATTACGGGAAAATTACTGAGAAATCCATATAAGAATTTCAATTACTTTAAAATCTCATAAAATTTATAAATTATTGTCAAATCCAAAATTCTATACAATTACAACTTGACAAAAAAAATAATAATTTAAGTAAAAGATAACAACTTGATATTAAACTTATATTTAAATTATTTTTTTGCTTTGTCAAATTGTAATTGTATAAGATTTGAAATTTAAAAATATTTTATATATTTCATAAGATTTTTTTAGTAATAAAAATCTTTACAAGGGGCCTTGAAGTAATTTGCCCATTTACTATTATAAAGCACACGGCCATGTTGCCTGCCCCCGTGAACGTTTCAGTAGTCTCAGGTGGACCCCACTTGTTGTCACCCTTCCAAAACAGTATCATAGACCACCTTACCTAAGCCTATGCTAATCTTTTCACAATGCATAATTTATCAATAACACAAGCTCATGACTGAAGTCAATATAATAAATAGGACGTCTATATTCTAGTTTGCACGACTTTGGTCGATAATGGGGATCAACGGTCAAAACCCTTTAAACCTCAATCACCAGAGAAAACAACTTATATCATGATGATGAACATGTATCAGTGCCATTTCATGAGAGCGATTGATGGGAAATCTGATTCTTCTGGTATAGTTATCAAAAGCAGAGCAACGCATGCACGTGAGAAGGAATTAGAGGAATGAGGAGTGAACCTAGCGGGAAGCAAATAACGGGGAAATAGGCGTGAATAATTCACAACTGTAACCAGAGCCGGACAAGAAAAAGGCATTAAACTAATAATTATTGAGGAAACTAAAACCACAAAAATAACAGAAGTATCTATGGTTTGCACAAATTGTTCCTCCCACAGTATTTGCCTGGACAGCAACAGCTAGCATGAAAGACAAGTACGCTTTCTCCAACACCCTCCACTTGTATATAAAGGCCACCATGTCACTCTCTCTTTGCTCTGTCACCATTCGCTCTTCTTCTCAGCCTTGCTAGCTAGCTTCGTCATCATCATTGACACCATACTGTGTGTGTGGTAGAATGGCCTCGAGCTCGACTTGGACGGCGAAGCAGAACAAGAGATTTGAGAATGCTCTGGCCTTGTACGACGAGGAGACGCCGGACCGGTGGCAGAAGATGGCGAGAGCTGTGGGAGGGAAGACGGTGGAGGAGGTGAAGAGGCATTATGAGAAGCTTGTTGACGATGTGAAGCTGATCGAGGAAGGCCATGTCCCTTTGCCTAACTACACTACAAGCGCTCAGCCACTACGAGGAGGACCCGCTTCCACCATCAGAACTTACAGTACTTACTTGAATGAACAAGAGCGAAGGTTATTCCTTATTCCTCTGATGTTTCCTTTAACTTTCTCTTCCCTTTGCTTCCTGCTCTTCGCTGTTTTCTCTCTTCTCTGCTTTTAATGGCATAAATAGGATTCTACTTTTGGCTATACCTGTCGTATTCACTTGTGTTTTCTGCTTTGGTTCTCACCCACATGAAAATGAAGCTACTTCTTATTCTTTCATCAGCATCGGCTTATTATTATCATTGGTGTGAAGATTTTTATACTTTAATGCAGGATGAAGAGCCTGAGCCTCCAGTAAAGTGCGTCGGAAGGAGAGCTAGTGGGAAAGGATAATCATGTGCTTGCTTTCTTCGTCCTCCAAAAACTATATTTATATGTAACTTGCTCCGCTTCACCCACCGCCAACTCTTTCTGTCTTTCCCTCCCTCTCTATATGAATATCGAAGTCTTGTAATAATTCCTACAAATGTATAAATTTTTAAGTTCAATGAATGGGGTGTTATTGCGATTGCCTTGGCCATGTGGGTAATAGTGATGTACTTTCCCAACTTGATAATGAAAACCGTTTTAAGAAACCTGAAAGTGAAATTTGAAGGGTTACATACTTCCATACTCCTCTCATCTTATTTATTGAGCAAAAATAGAATATTTATTTTGATTCTATTTATAAAGCATATAAATCATTATTATATTTATTTTTATCATTTTTTCCTATTGAATGTAGAAAAAATTATTAAATGTTAAAGTATTTTATTTTAAAATAGGTATATTTAATAGAGATAGAGTTAAAAAATTATTAAATTTTTAAATAGAATTAATAAGGTTTAAATTTGTTTTTAATTTCAATAAAAATATTAAAAGTAACTTATAAATAAGATTAAGAATAGATGAACAAGAACATAATTCTTTTACGTGTTGGCACATATAATAATGAGAGAATAAAGACATAAGGGGACTGTGGATATGTTTTTTAAGAAAATAGAGTTATTCATTTATATTTAAAGTAAAAGAATTTGAACTTGATTACATATGACAAAATGATTCAAATAATTTAAGCCGTTAAACACGTTTCGAAATTTGTATTTGGAAAGCACAAAGCGCGTAGAGTATAAGTTCATGTACATAAAAAGAGGAGGCACGTGTGAAATCAAAGGCACCGACCCTAACGTATTCATCATTATTGTCTGCGGGATTTGGAACCCAAGAAAGCAAAAGAATCAAGTGCCTAATCTTATACAAAGCTTGTTGGTAAACAAAAATCTCACGCAAAGCTTGAGAGAACATCAGATAAGATTGCTTTCTTATTTTCTTTAATATCAGTGGATGGAGGAATGCGCCTGCACAGTGAGAATGTTATTACCCGATTTTTTTTAATATTAAATCACTCACTGCAAGAAAATTGTATTGTATTTGGACCCATAATTTATTTAACGTACTGTCAGTACTGTAGAACTATATGAAGGTGGCAAACTTCAACGATTTTAACGCGAGATTTTATTATCAGCATAGATAATGAGTCGGTAATTAAGCTTGTGGGGATTTATGATCAACATACGTAATGCTTCTTATACCAGCAAAACTACTTGCGCAGACCTTCAACTTTACCTTCACTTTTTGACTTGTTTTTTAATTTATAAAAGTATGAAATAACCCACAGCCCATTGGCTTATACATGCAAGATAGGGTGATTCTTTTCCTTGCCCAGAAATCAAGATATGCAACATTCCTTTATTTTTTATAATTATTACTTAAAAATATTTTTAATGTTTTTATTTATTTATTTTATTTTAGTCTGCCTCGCTAAAACCAGACTAATATATTGGCAATTCATAGCCGTCAAAGATTATTTCGTTCAGTAGAAAGAAGGCTCTATAAATATCTCAGTAAACTTGCTTTAATTTTGGCACGACCCTATCAAAATGGGTCTTCAAAACTCAATTGTGTAATTGAATAATGGCAGCATAAAAAAAGAGAGATGACAAGGAGGGGGAAAGTGATGGGTAACAAGAACTCAGTGGGTGATAGCTATGCAAGAAGGACGTAATAATTTGCACGTGAAGGATAGATAGCATAAAAGTCAAGTCTACTACGGGCGATATATATTTATATATTGTAAAGCAAAGACGGAGAAACTCATAAATCAACAGCGAATTTTAAAGGCTTTCATGAGCCAAGCATCGCATATATATGTCCCTACAGGGTATATATATAATAGCCCAACAGAGAACAATATATTTTTCTTGAAAATTGAAATGTTATATGAGGCAGTCTTTCTTTAACCCCATCGATCTGGTCATTTGGTTCAATGGTAGACAGCACTATCTGCTTTACGATACGACCTCATCTCATCCCAACAGAATATATTCAGCTTCGTATATATTATCACTCCACCATATCAACACATTATTGCTCGTCATCTCCTGTACGATTACATTTTAGCCACCCGTCTTTGCTTCTTCCCTCTTTCTTTTGTCGCCGTCTTCCTCTCCCTATACTACATTCTCTCAATTATATCTCGCTTCCTCCTGCTTTCAAAACTATGTCCACTGTACAAGCTCTCTAGTTTTCGACACTCTGCCTCCAATAACTGTACCCTCTCTCTCTCTCTCTCTCTCTCTCTCTCTCTCGTGCTTGAGAAATATATTTTTCAATTCTCTAAACCTCCCATGTTTATGCCGGTCTTTACAGAGCTATCTATTCAATTTATTGGGACGGCTATGCATATGATCCGTATCACATTATTTGTTTTTTTTTTTTTGGGGGGGGGGGGAGGAAGACAAATCATTTCATGTATTTTTTATTATCTTGGCCAAGGATTTATTTATCCTTCTTATGGAGTTGGCCAGGTAACAAGGAACTATTTTTATTTTTTATGCACTGTTTGATTATATTTGATCCAACTGACTAAATTCGAGCACCGTCTTGGTAGTCTCCAAACACGAGAGTAATCCAGTAAGGAACTATTGGGTTGTGGCCTAGTGTGCTAAAGGATTTGGGCTTGTCAAGGCCCAATTTTATCCCAGCAAGACCCAACCTCGCTTTCAACACCCGCTACGAGGTGGTGGACCTCATGAGAACAGAGAAAAAATAGTCGTGGAGGATTATTAAAGCAAGGAGTAGATATAGTCCTGAGTTTTTTTTTTTTTTAAAAAATTATTTAAAGGAATATCCTGATCTTTTCTTCTCTCTGGTTTATGGAGCATTATTAAAGCAAGGAGTTGATATAGTCCTGAGTTTTTTTTTTTAAAAAAAATTATTTAAAGGAATATCCTGATCTTTTCTTCTCTCTGGTTTATGGAATAATTATCTATTAAGACACAAAAAATTAAAGGTATGATTTATTGATATTAATTGAAATCTGGTATACAACATCTGTGCAGCCATTGTCTTTCTAAACCCTGCATTTTACTTGTGAGGAGAGTGAAAAATGGTGGATTCTACGCCTACATTAAAACCTGTTAACTGTGCGAGTCAGGTTAGAACTTTTTTGATTGAGAAATATGCTGTTTAATTTAACTTGTTTCCTACGTTGTTACCTCACGCTGCTTCGGGAGCCAGCGATGACGGTGCACCTACCGGTCCATCCTCGGCCTCTTGGGCCACTTCTGGTGCTTCCACCGACGGCGACGGCGATGGAGATATTATTGGGGCCAAAAATAACCGCGATGAAGATAGAGATGTTGTCGGTGATGGCGATGGAGACGGTGTTGACGACGAGGGTGATGGTGATGGTGATGGAGATGATCCCTCCGGCGCACTTGCCGGCGCCGTTTCAGGCGACTCTACCGGCGCTTCTGAAGGTGAAGGCGAAAGTTCAATATCTCCGACGAGTGGCGATCCCGAATCTTCCGGAGGCGGTGCTGGACTCCCTTTGCCCAGGCCAATGTTGCTAGAACCAAAAACCATATAGCAGCCATATATCTTGAATTCTAAGTTTCCAAATCAAACTTGAAAAAGAAGTGGAAAGCTCTGGCATCTTACCTCTTAACCCAGTCACTCCAGGGCGATCCACCATGACTGCTCTCACTCATGGCGTCTTGGCATCGTTCAGAGCTTGCTGAGCAGTGCCGTCCTGGAGAGCTTTTTTGGCTTCATCACTATTTGCGGCCTGTTCTATGGTCTCTTGAGAGATCCCTGCCTGTTGTGCTTGGTCCAGCACGCTCTGTAGATTCAATTCTCCCATTACCATTGGCATGCCCACCACCATTGACAATATTACTACGGCTACTACCGCTGCTTCTAACCTCATCTGTCCCATTTCTTATTATTCTATTGTTTGGATCAGTCTTTCACACTAATTGACTATTCGGGAACAGCAGATATTTGTGATGAGTGCTTCCAGTGCCATAAATAGTTATGAGATTGGCGTGTTGGGTGCTCCTGCGTCACCATTCCATGAGGTTCATGCATTATGCGGATTTGTCGTCTACCGATGAATTCCCACGTTTTATTCTCCGACGTTAGAATTTTAGATTTTTCACGGTTATTCCCAACTGTTTTAATTTTCCAAGCCTTCTTTTACGGCCTTACCTAGTTTTTTTTAGATGTATTCTTGCGCAAGTCCGAGTTTTGAGCAAAAGCTGACCCCAGGTCTTAAATACTCTACTACATTTTTGAACTAACGAAGCACGAATTGACAAAACTAATGAAGCAGCTTGAATACACTCCCCCTCTTCTAGTTCTAAACTTCCACGGTTAATTGTGGTATACTAGACCTGAACAAATATAATGTAAATTTAAGAATTTAAATTTTCTGTTGGGATTTCGTGAGTTTCATAAAAACTATATTTTTAAGAAAAAGAGATAATTTTATACTTTACAAAACATAATAAAATGAGTAAAAATATTTAAAAAAATCACATGAATTACGAGGATTTAAATTCTAAATTTAACCACCGTGACATTAAAAATGTGTAGTTCTAAAGGGATAATGTGTGTGTGTGTGTGTGGAGTAATACACAGGTATAAGGATTTTTCGTTTGTCGTCGTTAATTTGCCATCGCGAACATGAGTCTTGTCTTCGAATAACTCGGTCAAAGGGAGAAAGGGCTGGGAAAGAATCTCCGGCCGGTCATTCACTCGTCTGGCTTCGTTGATTAATTTATACTGATAATTGGTGCATGAGGCATGAGGCTGTTGACCCTACATCGCTTTCCTTCCTTCCTTAATCTTCTCCAATGAAAAAGTGTGGCCTGCCGATTGTTATGATTTTATACTTCTAAACCTTTCTATGTTGTTTGGTAAAAAAAAAAAAAAAACCTTTTTATGTTGTAAATAAGCCATAACTCACTTTAGTTTATCTTTTTAATTTAGTATGTATTAAAGAAAGGAGTAAATGTAGGAAGGTAACGTGCGAACAAAACCCAGTCTTTTTCCTATTTATCGTGGAAACTTAAAAGTTTAGGACATTCAGAGTCGTTTAATTCCTCTGTCTTCAGTGTTTGATGACCTCTTCTGTGGTAAAAACAAAAACAAAAACAAAAAAACAAAAGAAAAGAAAGGTCCCGTGACTGTGCCACCAACCAGACTCGTTGACACGACTGGAATTAAGGTACAAAAACTGGCCAGAAGAACAAGAGTTCATAAACGCGTTTACTATATGCAATACAAATAAGGCTAGTTGTTTGGAAGGTAGCGAGAATTTATTCAATGCAGTATTCAATGGCGACGCACATATACAAGAATTTTATGCTGCTTCGTGTAATTTCGATACTTTTTTGAAAATTTCTCATAATAACTATCAATTAGATTCATGTCCCCGTGCATTCACAACAATATTTTAATTTTTGAAAATAAAAATAAAAATACATTATAAAATATATTTTTCTTTTATTTTATCTTAATTATAAAAATTTTTATTTTTAAAATTTATATGAATCTCCCTTAAAATTAATAGTTAAGAGTTACAAAATATGAATATTCCTTCAATTTTTAAGTTTTCATTTCTACCAGTCTAACAATTAACTGGCAATTATTATTCTTGATATATTCTTTTAAATTTTTATTTTTATTTTAAATTTATCAGTCATACAAACTAATTTATTTCATATTTTTTACAAAATTAAATACATACTTTATCTTTTAAAAAATATAAAGTATTTGTAATCAAATATCACCCCAATAAAGTAGTTATTTGTCTTTATAGTAACACCATCTTTTCATGTTTATTATTTAATTGGATGTTTCACACTAAAATAATATAAAATAATTTATTCATTATGAAAAATTTTGAAAAAAAAAGTTAATGGTTACAAGTTTAAATAGTAAAAATGATTTATATTTGTTAACATGCAGCTCCTAAGAAATAATCCTTTAAAAGTACTTTATATATTTTAATGGAGAGAGTAAGTTAACTAAAATAATATTTCACACACAAATTTGCAAGTAAAACAATGATTATTAAGAAACGATTAAGTGTGGAGTGGAAGATAAATTTATTAATATTATATAATTAATTTACAGCACATATTTTTTATTGTTGAGATTTGAGGCACATAATTACATCAATATTTTTCATAAATGTTTAAATCATAATCAACTTTTACACATAAATAATAAAATAATAAATTTTTATTCCTTATGCATTTGAAGAATAGAAAAAAAAACTTGTTTTATATATGCTCACACAAACTATATTGATTTGTTACCCTGTATTAATAATAAATATTCCTTTCATTAAACAAATATAAAATATTTTTAATTAAATTTTATACTTAATAAAGTAGTTACTTATCTTCAAACTAATCTTATTTTTATATTTATTTCTATTTAATATGGTGTTTTACCCTAAAATAAATATAAAATAATTTATTCAATAGAGGTACTTAAAAAAAGATAATTATTATATCTTAAAATATTAAAAATACCTTATCCTTTTCAACATTAAACCCCTCAAAAAATACCTTACATTTTTTAATAGAGGGAGTATAGAAAAAATTCTTTGCATATCTAATATTTATTATTTTATTAAAATTTTATATTTACCATCAATTTTTAGTATAAAATCCTACATGATCTCTAAAAATTAAAAAATTTATTATTTTTTAACCTTGTTTACATTTTTAAAATTTATAAATGTAAATCTCACTCATATTTTTTAATGATAGGTCCTACACACAACTTTAATTTTTTAAAAATTAAGTTTATTAAAATGTTACATTCCCTCCATTACTCTTAGAGTCTCAATTCATGCTGAGTTAAAAATATAGAAACATGTAAAAAATTTATAGTCAAACATAACTCTTAACAATTTTAGCTTTTAGGTTGATTTGGCTGGTTTAAATATCCAAATTATTAAAAAAATATTTTATTTTATTTTTTTATTGATTCCATACACTGCAATTCTGAATATCCTTTTTAGCCAGTTTATATATTTAATTTTTTAAAAAGTTACAAAATAAATATATTTAAATAATAAAATGTTAAATTTTTTGGTGATTTAAATGATTTTCTTAATGGTTAACTAATGGTCATGTGGATGGAAATAAAATAAAATCTTAAAAATAAAAGGAGGGTTTGTATTTTACAGCTGTCACACTAAAAAAATATTTATATGGGTTTCAAAAAATATAAGAGAGGTATAATTAATTAAGAAAAAATAGATAACATATTTTTCTCATTTTTAAGCATAAGTTTCATATGTACTGTACCCATATGAAAAATAAAAAATAAATAAAGAAAACGTTACATTCATAACAAATTTTTTTAACAAAAAAAAAATGTGGTGATGGTAACAAACTAAAAGAAGACAAAGTCGAATGGTACTGTTGATTTACCGACAATGTTACAATAGTAAAAGAGAAAAAAAAAGAGAAAAAAAATTGAAGACATTTTTTATAAACTACTGTTCATCAGACATTTCAAATTTATATAGATATAGATAGTATCATCCATGCGAGTTCTCCCCAATTAAATTAAACATAGAGAGGAGCGTATGCGAAAAATACTTTAAACTCAAACAAAGGAAAAATGTATAAACTATATACGTGTATTAAGAAATTAATATATTTTTATTCAACGCTTAGAGTTGGTAGAGGACGGGAGGAGAGTCCTCCGCCGCAGTCAAGCCAAAAGAAAACAAACGTGGTATCGCGACATTGTTCATGCTTTGGCCTGCGGTCGAATTTCAAATTTCAAAATAGTAGATAAAGACTGTGGACATGAGGTCATTCTGTACGAATAATAATAAAAAAATGATTGGCAGAAGGGAAATTTGAATTTAAATTTAAATTTAAATTTGAGATTAGTTCATATGTCATATAGCGTTATATTATTTATTCAGAAAATTACAAAAAATGTATTTTTCAAAAAATTTAAACTTTATACTGACAACTCTTCAATTATGTTTTAATCATAAAAACATATTTTCATTTTAAAAATTCATATAAACATATCTTAAAATTAAAATATGCATTATATAAACATCCTGTGTATGTTTCAAATTTCATTTCTATCCATTAAACTATTAGTTAATTATTAAATTTAATTTTTAAATTTTTAATTTGATCAAAATACTTCTCCTTAACACGAGAATCATCTAAATATCTATATTTACCAAAAAATATTTTTTGTCTATATATACTTTTAAAATTTTTATTATATTATAAAGTTTATTAATTTTTATTATATTATAAAATCATAATTTTTTCAAATTTATTGAAACCTATTTATTTATATTTTTTTTGAAATTGGTAAAAATATACTTCAAACACGTATTTTTGTTCATCACATAATATAAAATTATATAGGTTCAAGTGATTATATAAACATTTAAAATTTCTAAACATGTTTTTTACAATTAAATTAAATACCTACTAAAATAATATAATTTAGAATTTATTAAAGTGAGAGGTAAGTTAGTAAACAAAATATAAATTTTATTTTAAAAATAACTTTTTAAAATCCTCTTAGAATATTCCTAACTGAGTCAACGATTAAAAGTAAATTGTATATGTTTTTACAATAGAAAAGAGGTATATATAATTAAGGTAAAATAAAATGATGGTGAAATATTTTACTCTAAATTTAGAGAACCAAATTTTATCTTGTCAACAAAATTTTATTTTGTCAAATACAAGAACGAATATTTCAATTCTCAACAATAAAAATGACTATGGCTTCAGAGGCACTTAAAAAATACTCCCTCTATTTTAAATTAAAAAAAACTTTTAAAAAAAAATTAAGCATATCAAAGTATAAAACACTTTGATAAAAATAAAATTTCATTAATAATATTTTTTTTATTATTATTTTTTTCATATATTCTCTCTATTTAATATTCTTTTATCAATAATGTATTAAATGAAAGATATTTTTAAAAGTTTATATTTTTATTTTAAAATAATAAAATTGTAAAATATATTTAATAAATTTTATTAATATATAAAATTTTATTTAAAAGTCACTTATAGTTTAAGATGAAGAGACTGTTAATATGTAAAAAATATTTAATTATCCATGAAACATAAAAACAGGAAAAATTGAATAAAAGAAAGGTGGAAGAAAAAGTGATCATGCGTCTCTGTTCATACGCAGGAGAGGATGTTAATTCCCCTGGTTGACTAAAACTACCATCAAGCCTTACCTGCCCTTTTTAATTAAAAAAAAACGGATAAGAAAAAGAAAAACTGATTGTGAATTTTAAAACAAGGTAATGAATAAAAAATAGTCTCTGTTCCCTTTCTCTCCTGGTACCCCTCCTTTTCGCTTTTTGCGTGTTCATGTTCATTTCATGAATAGGTAGCGACGGCGGGTCCAATTTATTTAATAAAGAAATACAGTCTCTCTCGGTCTCTCGCGTCAGAATTGTTGGAAGCCGCCCTTCAGAAGACGAGCGCTCATCACAAGGCATCTCCCAATCTGCTCGATTGTTGAAGCATCTTCACTTATTCCTCTGCTTTCTGAGTTCCCATGGCCAACACTACTCTCTCCAAAGCTTTGGACCCTTCACCTACTTCTCAAGTCAAGGTACTGACCCTCTAATCTCTTCTTCCCCCTTTACCCCATCATGTTTCCTTTACTATTGATGCCTTCCATTCAATTATTAAACTCCAGCTATTTTACGATTTGGATTAGAAACAGCACAGAGCAGAAAGCTTCAAGAGAGAACTTGACTAAATGAATGAATATATATATATATATATATATTGTCTGGTTTCTTCACAAGTCGCTTTCAAGTACTTATATTTCATCCTAATTTCTTGTTCGTCCAGGTGCACCGTTCATTATGTCTGGATCTTGGGAAATTTGTTGAAAGAATTTCCAAAGTTGTGTTAGCCATTGAATCCACCCGGCCAAATTGTACGTCAGCAGTTCGGGCACTATGCTCCTTACATTTCGCTTTGGATAAGGCCAAGTCAATTATCCAGCAATGTTCTCACTCCAGTAAACTCTATCTGGTAACTTAATTCCCCACTGATCTTTGTGACCATCTTGATAAGTGCTCTTTCAGATCAATTTCAACTTAATTTGAAACATTCTTGTTTGCTTGTTTGCTTGCTATCATTTGTGTATTGTGCCCAATACGTGGGCCTTCAAGTGCCTCGCATAGCTGATGCTTTATACACTGTCTATTTGCTTGAAATGGAAACCTTTTAGGTAGTCATGGCACACAAGATAGTTTCAAGATGTGAAAAATTACGGGGTGATCTGGAGTTATATTTGACCCAAATTCAACAAGTAGTCCCAAATTTGTTGGATGTTGAGGTGGGTTTCAACCACTGATAATTCAGTTTCATTTCTTCAATAGAATCCTATCATGTTTGATTATCATTTAACTTGGTCAGTGATGTCGGGAATTGACCTGCAGATATCTGGAATCATAAATGATCTTAGAGCTGCAGAATTTTCCTTAGAATCCGCAGAAGATGAAGCTAGGAAGTCATTACTGGAACTGCTTAACAAGGATTTGCCCGGCTCAGAATCTCTAAATAATGTTGAACTTGATGCTGTTCAGATGGCGACTTTGAGGCTGAAAATGACAACTCCTTTAGCTCTCTTAGAGGAGAAAGCAGCTCTCAAGTCGCAAATGGGAAAGGTCAATGGAGCAGATCAAAGGGAGATAGAACTTGTGAAATACTTTTTATATCTGCTCATCAAATACAGGAAATACTTATGTCAGTTTCAAACTAGAGACCAGTCCGAGAAGCATGCCCGGCATCATCAGTCTATGGAGCATGAGCTGGATGTGGATGATGAAATACATGAAATCAAACAGGATAACTCAGTGAACCTTCAAGTTGAAGATTCTTGAGTTTGGTCACCTGCAGACTAATTGTTGATTTGTATAAAATCAGAACTTGATTGGAAATGTTGGTTGGTTGTCTGGGCCACGGTAGATTGTCCAGAATTCTTTTCTTGTTAGACTGTATGAAGAAAGGCACTTTTTAGTTGCTTTTACTTTTAGACAGAATGCATTAACCTTTTCCATGGACGTCCTCCCTACACGCAGTATATCGAAATATTTTTAAAAAACAAGGTAAAAGAGAAGAACTTTGAGATCAGCTCAAGTGCAAGTCAATTAGTTTTCAACACGTGGATAAATGAGTATTACCATAACTATACCAAACTACATACGGAAGAAGCAAAGCATAAAGCAAGAATTGCTTTGGCAGAAGGTAAAAGAACTTTCTGCAATGAGAGGCAATCTGTTAACTAAAAAAATTGATTTGATGGAATCCATGTAAGATGCTGCGAAGGAAGAAGAAATAAACTACAAGTTGATGACGCAAGTCCCTGAAGTGTCCAGGGTATAAATATTCATGCTGGTCCTGTAGTACAAGTAGATTACAAAAGCAAACTGCAGCATTACATTGAGCCAAAAAAGGAGCAAGTCATTTTAAACATCCATGAAGGGAAAGAGGCAGCCATTTCGTTTCAGAATCCCTTGGATATCAGAAGCATCCGTCCCGGGTCTTGCTGCTGAATCATCGTCTCGTTGTCCAGAAAAGAAACCCAAATCGGCATTTCGTCCTTCGGGGATCGCCCCTGCCCAACCCCAACAACACTTACCTTCTCCTCCACCTCAACTCTCGACCATATCGTCCCCCCTCGGCTCTGAGCCTTCCTCTCAGAATCACCACGTGAAGTCGCCTTTGAAAACCATCCCACCAAATGCTTCCTCTCAACCCCAAAAGAGGTCTCCACACCATATAGGAAAATTGGGAAACATGGAAAAATCAGCTACAACTCTAAAGACTCTAACTAACGCTGAGAAATTGGGGACTGACGCAGGGAATGCAGGGACTCCATTGGAAAAACAGTGCAAGTTCCATGAATCTGAAGAAATGGGGAAGTTAACGCATAAGCCTCAGGTAAAAGCGCAGGATCCAGTCTCCGGACGACAACAGCTGATCGACCCACCATTACGAAGGGAGTCTCGAGGAGAAAAGAAGCAGTCGGAATCACCAGAAACAGCAGTGAGACAGAAAATGTTTGCCACCTCCAACCCATCTGGTAATGACACCAAGGTTTTGAGTTCAGCGGATCCTAAGGTCAGTAACGTGTCATACAAATCCTCTCAAAAGCCTCTTCCACCCAACATGGGCAAAGCTCCATTGCAAAAAGAGACCAGAGAAGATAGGTCAAACTGTGATCATAAACTAGCGACCGGGCGCCTAACTCAGCCCGTGGATGAGAATCCCATTAGTGTGACAACTCTGGCTGGCGATAACAGAGGAGCTACCATGAACATAGGCTCTAAGTCGGGGAAGAAAGAGTGGTCAATCCCCATATACAGGGCCTACAAAAAAAATCCAGAAGAGAGGCCTGAGGTGACCACCGACGGGAAGGAAAGCTACGAGGAAGAGCCCGGTAATTCAGTGGAGAATGAAGTGGGTAACGCATATGTGAACAGTAATATACAGAGTCTCAACAACTCCTTGATGTGTCAGAGTTCGATCAACGACAGAGACCCTGGGGTTCATCTGACTCTTCCCCAGAAGCATGTCGAATCCGTCAGGTTTGATAGTAAACGAGATCCGGAAATTAGAAAGCCTGAGGTAAACGTTAGCCGGAACGACGGGTTAAGAATTCGAAGACGATGCTTGAGAGGACTCTTGGCGGAACCAAGCGACTCCGACCCAGATAACCCAAACAAGCCTCAACGTCACGGTTGTAAATACAAATGCGGAAGTATTTAATTGAAAAGGACCAAGATATGAGGTTCTGTAACCAAATTTGAGTGACTTTCGTTCTGAAAGAGATATACACTATTGCCCTGCAAACAAGCGTATGGCATTCCTCTTTAAAATTGGACAACAAGATGTGATGGGATTCAATTTGGAGATCGGAAATTGGATTTAGTTGCTAATAAATAATTTATAAGTAGAGAGAACTTTCATTTGTTTATGTTGTGTATTAATTAACTGTTCACGAAAGCCCTTCATTGCTCTCACGGACCACGGAACCAAAGGAGCTCCATTTTTGAGCGGCGACTGTGCCCGTCATTGCCCGTAATCTATTAGTTTTACTTATTCCCTCCCTTGATATAAGTCATACTTTTTGAGTTTTGAACAACAGAGACGTATCAAAATCAATGCTTCCGTGAGAAAGAGTGTATTTTTAAATGTCAAAAGTTGATTTGAATTTTTATAAGGGTATTTTTGAAATATAATTACAATAAAAAATTTGTATTGATACTTATATTTAAAAAAAATTGAAACTGTTCTTTAAATAATAAATATAAAAGATAAAAAAGATTGAAATATTATATTTAAGATTAAAATAACCTCACGAGTTCACGATGCAATGGAGTAATGATAGGCGGAGGGGAAAAGAGGTGGACGCCTCTATTGCAGGGAGTAGGGATGGGACAGGACAAGATTTGTTGAAGAACGTTGGAGATACATGTTTTTCATGTAAACGGTGACGGCTTGAGAAATGAGAACGCATATTCATGGAATTAGATATAAATCGGGAAAGAGTCTCTATCCAAATCCAGGTCATGATTGGATGGTTACTCAGGCATGACAGGACTGTGAGGGAATCCAGTTGACAGGATAAGCTTAACGGATTATGTATGTCTAGAGATGCATGGCAATCATCCGGGGGGTTTCCGGCTTCCGGGGGGCGGCAATAGTGGCGTGGTTTTCAATGAGCGTGTTGAGAGGGAAGCGCGTCAGATGTGATCTGGATGGATTAGAGAGTAGGGAGCAAGTCAACAACACCTGGACTGGGCAAGCCACGATGACCAAATTATCCAAATCCCTCAATGTTGGGTGGTTACCCCACCGCCACGATTTATGAAATTGAAAAGTGAGGCTGGTCTTGGCTCCGCCAATTTAAATATATATATATATATATATAGAATTGAGTTTGAGTTTAAAATTATAATTTTGAAAAATTTTATTTTAGTATCTTTAATTTTTTTTTTACAAGAAAGAACTTTCTTTGTCAATTCGGCGTTTTAATATTTTTCATTTTTCCTATCTTTACAATTGATTAAAAAAAATTACTCAAACATATTCAATTATTAAAATTAATTCTTTAATATATTATCCAAATATCATCATGTTTTGTTAATAATTTTTTCTATAATTGATTTTTGTCAATTGATATCCAAACACACGCTCTACTCTTGGAATCTCAAAATTGGAATTTTGATCAACTTTCGCGCACCAACGAGTGCAAAAGCAGAGAAGTGTCGCACCAGATATAATTCAATTTATATATATTGAGTACACCTAAAAAATTTCCATGATATAATGCTTTACGATTTTCTATCGATATATGCACGATATCAGTTTTAAATTGAAAAAATAATTACATATAACTAATGGCAGTTAAAAAATAAAAAATGTTTCATGTTACAAATAGTATAATTTCTTATAAATTTTATATTTATATATATTTAATCGTATCATCACTGTCAGGTGGAATTTTTCTTTTAAAAAAAGGCATAATAAACTGTAGGTAATTAGTGCTTAAATTTATTACGGAGAAACATTCCTTAGATTTTTTTAGAAGAAAATTCTCAAAACTTTATTCCGGAAAACTGCTAACCGCGTTGTTTGTAAATCCGTGGGCTGCCTGAAGTCCCGAACTCCGAGGCCTGGAATATTCAAAGACTGTGGCCCCGTTTAAGAAAATAAAATCAGGATCTTCTTTTCATCGTAACTTTGTCACGACCGAGGTTTATATATATAAATGATAATGATATTGGGGCCCACCTTGTTTCATCACGGATAAAATATACGCTAGGGATAAGAACAAACTAAATATATTTAGGTTAAGAAAAATATATCTTCCAATATATATAGCACCGAAGGACAAGGGCACAGTAAGACGAGTGTGATATCCGGAGACAGACACTGAGGGATAGAGAATTTGAGCAACAAGAATGGGTTCTCTTATGTCAGGATGGGACTCTCCCACCTTAGATCCAAAATCAGGTACCAAATATTATTACTTCAGGGGTGTTTATTGTTTCTCTCTGTTTTATGATTTAGCTTTTGATGGATTGATCTCTGAAGAGGGTAAGTTTTCTCTTGTTCCAGCAAAACTTGAGAGGAACAAGTCTCTCACTAAAGAAGAAATAGATGCTTTCTGGAGATCACGGAAGCAGATAGAGGAGGAACACCTCAAAGCTATTTCTAGAACGTCAGAAAATAATGAGGTCTGGGATTGATAGCTGATAACTGTTAGAGCTTTTTTTTTCTATGCGCGGGTTGTTAAAACACGAAAGGCTAACTACTAATAAACGGTGATTAACATTTGGTGGGGACAGGCCAGCAAACACCAGGAATCTGAGAAGTCAAGCAGCGTGGACTTGGCTCGCATGAAAGAGTTCATGGGTGGGGATACTAGCAATAGCTGGGAGCAGCTGATGAAGAAAAATTGCTGGTGAGTATCTTTTGCTTTACCGATGAATGAATCATTGAATAGATGAAAGAAGTAAGAGAAAGCACATGGTTGGTGTGTGCAGGTGGACTAAGAGTAGCTGGGCATTTCTTAACGAACCTCCGGTAATGGAAGCTGCTGCTAACAAGTACGCGGCGCAGTTTCACGTGGCCGATTTGGCATCTTCTAAAATGAACTCCGGAGACGGAATTAGTGCTGCTTGATAGAATACGAGTTTTCTCTTTGCCCTGTAAATATTTGCTTATGCTCGGTATGTGCGTGCATGTTTTTCAACTTATGGAGTATATATACATCAAGCTGGGATCTTCTCCGCTTGTGGAGAGATCTTGAGATAGAAAGAGTGTGTAAGGAGATCATTTGATGAGTCTCTCTGTGCTTTTCTCTTCTTTTTCTTTTTTCTTTTTAATTATATCGAAAGGATTCATATTATATACTGCCTATGTATATACTCAACTTGCTGTCCAGAGCGCCTTGAGATACTGTGTGTTTTATTTTACTTCATTATTGGCAGTGATCTCTCCAAACGAATGAATATGGATAATAGATTGAGTTTATATACATGGATGGGTGGTGGATGGACATTCAATTTCGTGGTTGTATTTGGGAGCTTGATTGCCTGTGATAGCAGAACGCTAGCGAAATTCGCATTCCCGTTCAATGGCGAGTGAAGTGTTCTGGGCCTACGCTTTGGACCTGCAAAAGGCCTTAGGTCATCAGCCCTCCAGCCCACCTATTTGTCTCCACACCTTTAAAATTAATATAATTTCTCACATTTTTATATTTTATAATAACATGGAGCTAGTTGCTTCATCTCAAAGACTTGAATTATTTTTAATCGCATAAAGAACATGATTTTTGAAGATTAGACTCTTCCAGAATGCCATTTCGTCTTAGTCACAATCCGATCCGATCACTTCTATCTGGGTTTCTCCCACCTGGGCACCGGACCCCAACCTTTTTATTGAAATGTCGCAATTGCCCTTCACCTGCTTCCTCGATGGGAAGGAGATCAATCGTGATCAGTGATGGAGGACAGACCAGCTAATTGCTCGCTGCCAAATCAAGATTCCGCGTCCCATCAAGCTCATTGCCTTCCATCTGTTCTCTCTTTATCTTCTATAAACAGCTTTCTGAAAGTATTTTTAATAACCTTCAAACAAATAGGCGAAGTATGAAGCTTTCATCGAACATATATTTTAATATGTGTGTGTGTATAACAAAATTGTAATATATATATATATATATATGAAATCCAAAGTCCTCTATATAAATAAACCGTGCTTATCATAAAATAATATGAAATCAATTTTTTTAATGCTGGCTTCTGAATTTCGTGTCTTTTTAAGAGCTTTTCTTGCACGCCACAGGATCCGAGGAACAAAATTTAGTTGCTGATAAATTCTATTATTCGTAAATTATAAAATAACATGTTTGTAAATTATAAAATCTATAATAAATCACATTATTTACGAATTATAAACAATACCTTGCATTATTTAAATGATGCGTTGCTTTAATATTTAAAATAAATAATACTCAAATAAATAGATAACTAAATAATTGAAATAAATAAACAAATAAATGGTTTGTGTTATTTTGATAACGGATCAGAACGTAAGAAGCAAAATTTAATTTAACCCGGTCCTCAACGAGACATCCCATTCACAGAATGAGGTTGGAACCCAAAAAAAAAAAAAAAAAAAAAAAGTACCACTATAACTTCAAACGTCTTGGTGGAGTATAAAAGGGGGATGAACCCACTACGCATGGAGTCGAGAGGGTGATTAAGCTCCTCTTTCGTTCCTCCCCGTAATCAAGCAAAGCAATTAAGAGACCGATTTATATAACAATGGCGGAGAAAAGCAAGATTTTGATCATCGGAGGCACCGGCTACATCGGAAAGTACGTAGTGGAAGCAAGCGCTAAGGCAGGCCATCCCACCTTTGCTCTGGCGAGGGAAAGCACTGTCTCCGATCCTATCAAGGGAAAACTCATCGACAATTTCAGAACCTTAGGCGTCAATTTATTGCATGTAAGTCTCGTCTTCTTCAGATTGTTCATAAGCATTGAAGTTGGTTTAAGGGAGAATAATTAAGAAAGAGTGTGGAATATATATGCAGGGGGATCTGTACGACCACGAGAGTCTGGTGAAGGCCATCAAGCAGGTCGACGTGGTCATATCCACCGTGGGTCATATGCAGCTAGCAGATCAAGTCGAGATCATTTCTGCCATTAAAGAGGCTGGTAACGTCAAGGTATCACTCTCCCATCTCAATTTGACCTCGTATCTGTGATCTCTTCTTGAGGTCCAGCCATATTCTGAAGTGATCTTCGTTTTGCAGAGATTTTTCCCTTCAGAATTCGGGAACGACGTGGATCGTGTGCACGCAGTGGAACCAGCAAAATCCGCGTTCGCGATCAAGGCCCAAATCCGACGTGCTATTGAAGCCGAAGGTATACCATACACTTACGTTTCAAGCAACTGCTTTGCTGGCTATTTTCTGCCCTCGTTGGTGCAGCCAGGAGCCACTGCCCCTCCCAGAGACAAAGTCATCATCTTAGGCGATGGCAATCCCAAAGGTACTTCTTTGTTCTTCGTGAATCTTTACTTAATTCTGGACTAGCTTCAAGACTTAATTGGATTTCAAAAGTGAAATTGCTGTCTGCACTTTTCAATATGCATAGCCGTTTTCAACAAGGAAGAGGACATCGGAACCTACACAATTCGAGCTGTCGATGACCCGAGGACATTGAACAAGATTCTCTACCTCAGGCCTCCTAAGAACATTTATTCCTTCAATGAGCTGGTTGCCTTGTGGGAGAAGAAGATCGGCAAGACCCTGGAAAAGATTTACGTTCCAGAAGAGAAACTTCTCAAGGACATTCAAGGTCTGTGATCGTTCTTGTTGAATTATGTTGGGTTCTTGTATGATGATGGTTGATTCATATCTCACAATCTAAGAAATTTTCTTTGGTTGCAGAGTCACCTATTCCTATCAATGTGGTTTTGGCAATTAACCACTCGGTGTTCGTGAAGGGCGACCACACTAACTTCGAAATTGAGCCTTCGTTCGGTGTCGAGGCTTCGGAGCTATACCCTGATGTCAAGTACACTACCGTGGAAGAATACATCGACCAATTCGTCTGAGAAATCAAGCACATATTTGCATGCTATGTGTGGTCCTGAGGGTGATTCAATAAATATATAATCTGAGTTCTCGCTTCTGTGTTTGATGCCACTTTACTTTTCGGTTTTCTTTTTAAAAAGAGGCTGTTTAAACTCGTTAATTTTGTACCCTCCAATTATCATTGTTGCTTCTGTCATTAGCTTGAGCTTTTAAGAAAAGCTTCCGAACAGAGAAATGAGTGAAGGAAAGTGAGGGGGAGCTTAGTGGAACTTGTATGCTTTGTTTGATGAGAAACGAGAATTCAAGCTTCAGAGTCCTTGATCTGATGTACATGTTGCAAGAGTATGGTCACATTTGTTTATTGGAATAAAATTGAATGGAATGGATTAAAAAAATAAAGGTAAAAATACGATAATTAAAGGGGATAAATGAGCACAATTATAAGGGAAATGAATAATTTAATTAATAGAGTTGGGAATTATGATTCATGAGATTTTTAAAAGACATGATGATTATTATATTTATAATATATATTAATGAGTTTTATTATGCTTATTGTGAAGAGAAATGTGATTTAATTGATTTTTGTCTTTATTTTTTAAATCAATTTCATTCTATTTTTTTTTTCTAACAATCAAACAAGATCTATAAGTTTACTTTTTTTAAAAAACAATTGATGTAAATATAATAGTCTGATGTTCAGGGGACATAATTCAAGACTTGCATCCCCTCATTAGTGTTTTGTCTAAGCTTCAAATCATAAGGATGGAATGGAGCCATTATGGGAATAATTAGAATGGAAAATATGCACTTTTCAGTAAAATCAATGGTGGGGGTTGTCTCTGAGTGTTTTAGCCTTTTCTCTCTCTTGGGAAGTGTGCTCGTGTGATTTTTCTCTGATGGAAGATTTTGGGCACCACAAGGTGCCCTTGGATGGCCGATTAACTGACAAAGATCCTGAGGAACCTCAATTAAAAAAAAAGAAGAAGAAGGCCTCTACTGAAGACGAAGATGTCCCCATTTCTAATGATATTATGAAAGATTATAGTATTATAGTAGATATGATACAAAATCCAACAAGTGAGTGCTAGAAAAAAGAGGAGACGATATCCAGAAATTGGCTTGAAAGGAAATTCACTTCTTATAAAGAATCACTCCTTGGCTTTAATAGTGTCGCCAATGGTTACTCAGGTATGGATCTTGACATCGATGATGTTTTTACTAAGAATGAAGAAATATTTTAGAAGCTGCCAAAACCTTCTAAGGAAGTTAAGAAGCTTTTAGACATTTATCTAGAGATCCCAATCAGTGAAAAAGAGTATAATGAGTAGTGTAAACTCTAGAATAATGCCTTAGTTATTACCATCTTGGGCCGCTGATATAATCTATCATAGGTGAAAGAATAGGTAGAAAAGGTTTGGAAAATATTGTGCTTTGGTTTAGGGAGAAAGAGGGCTGGATTGAATAATACAAGAAGGTATTGTATGAACTATGAAGGACCATGGACCATACAATAGCATTATATTCTTGTCTAGCAGTGGTCTCCCTATTTCATCCCTTACAATAATCCTTTAGGTAAAGTGGCCGTCTAGAGACCGTGTGGGTCCATATTCCTAAAATACCAGTCCATTGCTGCAACGGCGAATTTATATCTAGACATGGTGATTGTATCAGAGAGACCATTAAAGTTGATCTTAATACTTTGGCAAATTTCACCGCAAGGAAGACTAAGGTAGAAAGAGGTAGGTTTAGAGGATTTGCGTTGAACTAGACCTCCAAAAGAAACTAATTCCTAATATGATTGCAGCAGGAGAAATATTTAATATGGAATACGAAGGTGTTGGCATGATCTTGTTTGCCCTCCCTCTTTTCAGAGTTTACCTCCCAAGTTTCTTTAGTAAGGCAGAGAGTGGGACTCTCTTGAGCCCAGTTTATTCAAGACAGGGTATGCTGGTAGTATAATCATTCTAAAGCCTCCTTAATTATCAAATTACTAAGGGGCATAGCGTATCGCATACCCACCTGTGTTGGATCCCACAACCTCTCCTACAAAGTGAAGAAACGGGCAACATTGGTACCTAATGAGAGGTGAAACACTGATCTCTTGGAACACATCCTCCCTAAATGGGTCATACAACAAATTGTTCATATTAACTTAAGTAGAGGAAGTGAAGGTGATGGTTTTTGTTGGAGACAAAATACAGATGGCAAATTTAGTGTCAAAGTGGCTTATGACTTCATTAATAAGTAGAAATATATAATGCAAGCATCTATGTGGGGAAAGCTTTGGCGATGGCCAATCCTAGATAAAATTAAGTTCTTCATGGCGGGTTAAGCATTAGAGATTGTTGACTAATTCACTCAAAGCCAAACGAGGACTTATTGAAAGTTACCTTTATCCTTTTGAGTTTAATTGTGAAGAAAGTGTCATACACATTTTGAGAGACTGTGAGATTGCTAAAAAGGTGTGGAAACATGTCATTTCTACTAACAATTATGTTGTTTTCTTCTTTAGTGACTTGCAGGGATGGCTGAGCTGGAATTCTACACACAAGCCATGCAAGAGCAATTTCAAACGATGGCCTTGGACCAAGACCTTTGCTCATACTTATTAGCTCATCCAAAAGACATGATTTAATAGAATCTTTGAAAATTTAAATATTACAACCCAAGATGTCATTCATCAGTGCATTGGAAACCTATTGAAAGATTCAACTGGACACCACTATAAACATGCAATTTTTCAGGGACTCACAAAAGAGGATTCAAGATGGATACCCCTAGTAATAGGAACTCTTAGAGTTAATGTAGATGCTTTGATTCACTCTAATGGCCAATCAGTCTGTGGAGGAGCCTTTAGGGATTCGATTGGTCAGGATCACAAGTTTTCAATGTAGTATTAGCCAAACTTCTATCATGGAGGCTGAACTTATATTAATCAACATAGGACTTGAAGTTTGCAAACAACTGAGCTTGACAAGTATTGTGATGCATTCTAACACTTGTAAGGCTTGGAATCTTATATTTAGGGATTGTGGACCTTGGCACTCGCTTAAACATAAAGTTCAAGAGATTAGAGATATTTTATACAGTGGATGAGATGTGGCTGTTTGGTATGCTTTGAAGGGTACTATCAGATGTACAGATTAAATGGCATGGAGCACTCATGGAGTTGGAATAGATACTATCTCAGTTTGGACTTGCCCCACGGACTGCATTGACCTAGTTGTAGCTGATATGAATTCCTAGTGTTGTATTTCTTTTTGTTCAAGCTTATCGTGCCTTGTATTAAAAAAAAGAAATGAAAAATATGTAGAGATTTGTATCAATTTGAGAAGGGCAACGGGGTACCACATGAATACCAAAAGTAATTAGACAATACCTATATGTATTAGCTGATGTCAGGATTAATCTTAACAAACTTAAATTCTGGGTGATAATTTTTAATAAAATTAATTCACTAAAAATTTCTATCAAATTTGCGAAAAAAATTAAAGATCTTTCAAAGTTACCTGAGGTTTAAGAACAAGGTCCAACAACTAGCAGCCTTCTCTTGCCTTTGTCGATGAAGAAGGAGTTATTTTCAATTAATTTATTAACCTTATCATTGGATGTGCGGATGATCAAGCATATTAAACAAGTGTGATTAGTTAACAAAAAGACGTTTGGAATTTTAATTTTCACTCTCGTGTCAAAGGAAACAAGTTTAACTAAGCTGCCCAAAAATAATTCACTATAGGAGATTAGGAATGTCTTGGAAATAATGATGAATAACAAAGTAACCCCATAAAGAATAATTAAAAGACCCTGGACATATATACAACGACGACAACAAGTCTTATCTTATTGGATGGATCGGTCATATATATTGCATAATATCATTGTGTTATATCATCAATCAAGCTTTTAAAAATATTATTAACTAAGAAATCCCTCATTCAATAACTTTCATAAGTGTTCTCTTTGGTCTTCATTTACCTCTTTTTATATGGCTTAAGTCCGTTTTACTCTCCTCATTAGTGCACCTCATGACCTTTTTTGTACATGTCCAAATCATATATTTCAACCAATTTTCTATTATTTTTCCCTCAATAAATGTCACATTCATTTTTTTTTCATAATTGCTTATTTTAGATTTTATCTTTTCGTACATGTCCCTACATCCATCTCAATATTTTTATCTCTACAACTCAAACCTTTTATACTTCTATTGTCACCTTAAAGCTCAACATTTATTATCATATAATATAATTAGTTTTATAATAATTCGACAAAACTTTTCTTTAAATATTTTAGATACCTTTTAATTATAAATAATTTTTTAAACTTTTCTCCAATTAAATGATCCTGGACCTATATATTTTACAGAATAAGTTTCTTATGAAACGGAGCCAGAGGAGATCAACCCCACAAAAATCCAACTCACAGAGTGGTTGCTTGAGTTTACGGAAAGCTTCCAACAAAATAAAAGGAGGTGGGCTGCGGGCCTTTTGTTTTTGGCCATCGTCATAATGCAGGCGTGCTGATGGCCATCAGATTTTCGTAATGATGTTACTTTGATATTCATCACAGACATCACCTCTTTCCCTTTCTTATTATTCGGAATCAATGACAGGGCTGCTTCGCCAATAAGTGAATGCTTCAACTACAGACACGATGCTCAACTGTAGCAAATCAAACAATACGTGGATGTAGTTTTGGTCGTGAAAATGATGACATTGTTAAGGAGAAAGCACAGCATCCACCTAACTTGAATTAGTTTGTCAAAGTTCTTTTTCCACATACTCAACCGACAATATAATGCATCATTACACAGTTTTTTTTTTAAATATTTACTAGAGGAACAATAAGCTCCGCAGTTATTTTATTCCTAATTGTAATCAATATATTGGCAAAAAATTATTCTATCAATGTCCATAAATAATAACATATTCAATAAATTATGCGCAAAGTATAAGACCCACAATCAATATAAAACATTTGAATGCACAATCTGCGCAAATATATCTCCTAAAAAATAATTGACATCTCTGCAATACAACAACAACAACAACATCATGCATTTTTCATCAATTTATTTAGTAGTTGGAGGAGGACAGGACGGGAAAGTCTGAGATCCCAAGCCAGAGAGCTCTGTCATCAGGTACTTGCGGATGTGATTCCTGTTTGTTCAACTTGTGTTTTTGGAGACAGAAGCTTAAGCCCTCCATACGTGCCGTTGCGTTGATCATGATATGAATATGAAGCCATTGATGGATTTGGCGCTGGTGAAGGGGCCATCTCCTCTGCAGTCGTCTGTGCCTTTGTTCTGAACCTGATCACATATTTCTCTGGGTCACTCATCATTCTTCTAGCCTTCATTCCCTCAGTTATATTTCCTGAAATATTGCAATAAGAACGTTAAAGCTAGAGATAAAGAATATTACAGGTTTTAATTTTCTTGAAAAGGTGGCAAAACAGTGAACTTGACAACAACCAGCCATAGTCATAGCAGAGAGAATCAGGGATTTGTAAGAGGTGTTTACCATTTATATCAAAGTCGTCCTTCGAATTCTCTGACAATAGAATAAGAGTCGGAGTGATAATGGTAAGGAATGCCCAGAAGAAGAATATTGGAACCAGAGTTCTTTCACTCATTTGTTGCAAATGCAAACTAACTAAAGCAGTGAAATGCAAATCCAATCCAAGGTTTATGATAGAGGAAGGGCGGGGATGGTTATGCTCTCGGAAAATTTGAAACTCGCCATTTCTGGCATTGCTTTGATATAAAACAAAAGAACCAAATAACAAGGGAATAATGGATTATTGATGCTTGTTATTATAGCCTAGCTATCGGCCACCTGGCTTTTGCTTCCACGTCAGAATCTGCTTCGGCTGATTCTTAAGTAGTCTCAACGCATTCATGCTTTTTTATGGTTTTCTTTGTTGTGGTTTTGCTTCTTATTCAGCATTTTTTATTTTCTTTTGGAAATGACGGGTTTGATTTCAGGAGGCACAGAATAATTCAATGACTCCATGGGATGATTTATTCTGCAGGAACAAAAAATAAATACTCTGATAAGACTTTCAAGAGATAAGACAAAAGAGAGTTAACATTTTGTTTTTTTTTTTTTTTTCAAATTGTTTCTGTTCGTGTTGTTGCTTCATGATATCTTCGATTTATTCTGGCTGATGAGCTTTTTCACTTGCCGTGGCTTCTGCATGCATTGCGGGAGTGCATCAAATCCTACGGGAGAAAGCACTTGGTTGACTGTGATTCAACTCTTTAATTTGCTCGCGGAGCTTTGATGCTGGTTCGCAAGGCTGTTTGTGCGAGCCAACAGTCTTTTCATATGCTAGCACTTTTCGAAGATGTCTTGGGCTTTTCCTTGTTGTACATGTTGTTTGTTGAATTTTGGCTTTTGTTTCTAAGGAGCTGTCTTTGTTCGAGTCTAGTTTCTTTCGGAGTCTTGTCTTTTGTTCGAGTCTTTGTTCATGATGACTGTTTTCTTTTCTTGTGTCGTCTATTGGGTCTTTAGTTTCTTTTTTCTTTTTAATAATGGTCAACAAAATATTTAAACTCTGAGTTTTAAAAATTAATTAATTATTTATGTTTTAGTTTATTTTATATTAAAAAGATCATATATTTAAGTATATTGTTATAGATAGTTTTTAAAAAATTAAAATTGTTCACATTATTATATTTTTAATATGTAAAACATCTTAAAATAATATTTAAAATGTATTTTAATTTTAATTTTTGAACTTTAAAACGCAAAAATTTTTAGTCTTCTATATTTTTAAGTGTTCAAAAAATATATTTTATATTTTTTAAAAAATAAAAAATAATTAATTCTAAAGTAAAATTTTAAAGCTGTTTTTTAAAAATAAATTTTTAATAATTTAATTATTCAGTTCAGCCCAAATTTCAAAAAAATTAGAGTCAGATTGGATTATTTCGATTTTCTGTAAGGCCAGGCTTATTGTGGAATGAAGATGGCCCGAATTAAACCCAACTGGCCTAAATTACGGATTCTAAATTAGTGGGGTTCCAAACGCACCGTGTCAGCGACTGAAGCACTCTGTTAAGGGCAAATTCGTAATGCCACATCCGAACGATTCGCAACCAAAATCAATACCCCATTTTGCCCTCCAGACTATGCGGAATATACTACCCTACCACCGCCAGGTACGGCTTCTGAGTTCAAGCACAGTCGCGCTCCTCCTTCTCCCTCGCAATCTACAAACGGGAAACGTGCAGGGAGATTGAGCTCGCAGAAACTCGAAACACGCCCAGACTCACGGACCCTCAAAAGCGTTGCAAATGGGAACCTTAGGGAAGGCCATATACACCGTCGGAGGCTGGATTCGAGGGACTGGTCAAGCCATTGATCGGCTCGGAAGCCGTCTCCTGGGCGGCTACTATTTCCAAGAAAATTGTACGTGCGCTTCCTGCACTCTCTTCCTGAGATTTTAGATCCAATTTTATCTTCAATTTGTTCATCAACTAGGCAATTCGTGTTATCATTTCGTTGTAGATTTTGTTCGGTCCATTTGGAAGAAATGCCATCTTATTCTCCGTCATGTACTCTAGCAGAATTTGACCTTTGCTTTCATAGATCGAAGTTTATCATAGTTAAGTCACCTTTAATAAGGCATAGCTACTGTGTTCATCCCAAATATATGTTGAACAGAATTGAGAACTTGAATAATTTTTGGGTTGTTAGCTCTAGCACTTCCATTGGAACAAAGTGGAGACTGCGTATCATTCAATTGGAGATAAAAAGTCTGGACTACATTATATTTATTAACACTAACAACTATACAGTTTGCATTTTCCCATCAAATTTTATTTCATTGTTAAGAAGTTGCCAATAGCTTCATCCATGTTGGAAAATTGTGCTGAAAATAATTAGCGATAGGAATTGGCCGTATGATGTTTCTGATTAATTTGTAGTGTTTAGTAGCCTTTAGAAGTTTCGTTTCATATTAACATTTAATAGAAAGACTATGAAGCTGTAGAAGAAGTATATACGACACATTGATGAGATGACACGCTCAAATTCAATAGTATGAAGCTTCTAACCATGGTTTCTCTAGAGCATACGATGATTGGATTTTTTTTTCCCCCTATTCTTTTTCTTGATATACTCTATAGTTGGTGATGTTCACTCAGGCATCATGTTATTGATGCCGTCCTGCTGTCCTGCTCCCCTGTGGAGATTGTATTAGATCTTATTTTATATTACTGATTATTGATAAATGAAGTATTTAAAATCGGATGGAGCAAGATATCTTGCTTTGGACTTGATATTATACATAATTCATTTTTCCGCTCTCATGCTTTGGTTTATTGAAAAACTCAATAATTTTGCATATGAATATAAAACAATATATTAAAAATGGAATTAAATGCTATCCTTTTTCCCTTAACTTCTCTTTAACCATGAATTACCCTCCTTGTGGTTTGTCTTGGGCTCTCCCTCGCTGCTTTGCTATTATTCCATGCAAACTTATAAAACAGTTTTCTTTCTTCTTGTGTTTAGTGTCTAGGCATCGAACTTTGATGAACATATTTGATAAGGCTCCTGTGGTTGATAAGGATGCATTTGTTGCCCCAAGTGCCTCAGTCATAGGAGACGTTCAAATTGGAAGAGGATCATCAATTTGGTATGGATGTGTCTTGAGAGGTGAGGTCATTTGATCTTTTTTATATTATTTTAATAGCTTGATCATCAATTGGAAATGGAACATTTTAGTGGTCTAACGCTTCAGTAGCTTATAAGATCCATTTTTGGAATAATTTGTTGCACATACTAGTCATTTTTCTGCTGGATTATCATTGTTGTGTAAACAAAGCTATCCAATTTGGAAGCTTTCCTCTACTTCCCAAACATAATTTTCAGGGAGATTGCTCTTTTGTCATTTGAAAAAAGGAAATTATGAAACTTCTGTTTTCTGCTTTATGCATGTGCAAAACTCTACTTGATCTTTACTTTTTGCATAGGCGACGTGAACAGCATTAGTGTTGGAAGTGGAACTAACATACAAGATAACTCCCTGGTGCATGTTGCCAAGTCAAATTTAAGTGGGAAGGTGCTGCCAACTATTATTGGGGACAATGTTACCGTTGGTGAGTATGTAATATATCTCCCCATGAATGATTATGAATGCGGCTGCATTCTTCCCTTCATGGGAATTTAATCAAATTTTGGACCGGGCAGGTCATGGTGCCGTTTTACATGGCTGTATTGTTGAGAATGAGGCTTTTGTTGGTATGGGAGCAACACTACTAGATGGTGTTGTTGTTGAAAAACATGGTATGGTTGCTGCCGGTGCCCTTGTTAGGCAAGATACAAGGATTCCTGCTGGGGAGGTACAGTATTTGTGTATCTGCTGGCTTTTTCTCGCGTGAAAATTAGGATTGTTTTCATGTGTGTGTTTGGGATATAATTTCCATTGTTGAGTTAACAAATACAATTAATGGTAGAACAAGGGGGATCATGATTTTTAATGTGAACTTCTCTGCATGTGTTTTAGGACAAGTATGAGCCTGGTTACCCTCTCTTCTGGGATGCTGGTTATATAATCTTCAGCCATGATCTGTTAGCTCAAGCTTACATATGTTGCAGGTATGGGGAGGCAATCCAGCGAAGTTCTTGAGGAAGCTAACGGATGAAGAGATAGCATTCATCTCTCAGTCAGCCACCAACTATACTAACCTTGCACTGGTCCATGCAGCTGAAAATGTCAAGTCCTTCGATGAAATTGAGTTTGAGAAGGCATTGCGGAAGAAGTATGCACGTAAGGATGAGGAGTATGACGCCATGCTGGGTATCGTTCGGGAAATCCCTCCAGAGCTTATTCTTCCAGATAATGTCCTTCCAGATAAAGCACGGAAAGCTTCTCAAAAGTGAGTTCTGCAAAATGAATGTTTTGTTTAATTCCAATATTGAAATGGCATCAAGGATATGCTCTTGTTTTCTTCAAATTCATAGAACAAGGACTAATGTCATTCCCAATAATAGTAGACATGTTTTAGGCTACGAATATGGCTCCTTTCTAGATTTGATCATCCATGTGCTATGAGATTTTTAAATTTGTTAATCAGTTTAGGAAGGGAGCTTGTACTACAGCTATTTGTGAATCGAGTACCCAGGTTGCTCGCGATTATTGAATACTCGTCATTTGAGTTATTTGCATTCCATCGTTTGTCATATTCTAATCTAGGACGTGATATACATTTTTTTGGCAAGCAATGTGATATACATTTAGTGTAGTTGGCTGGATCCAACTTATTAGTGAAATAAACAACTCGCACACACTTCCTTTGGGGGGGGGGGGTTAAGTCAATAATAGTACGTTGACTTTTATTAATTTTTTTTGTAAAATTTAATGTTAATTTTATCTTAAATAAAGCAAGGCTGAAAATAATATCAATTTTAACTATTAATTTAGAAACTGATTTAAATCATACAAATATAATGTCTAAATTGTTCAAATTAATCCACATAAAATATATGATATACATCCTTTTAACGTGCATATAGCTCAATCTCAATTTTTCGAAATTGCTATCAAGCATCAGTGCTTAGATTCAACTTTAAAGATACATATTCGGGGATACATATACATATATACTGTAATAAAAACTTCAGTCATCAAAAAATATTGTAGCATAAAACTATATTGATGAACTAAATATATCCACCAATAAATGTTCACAACTTATAAAGTATAAACACTAACATTTTTCAATAAAGCATCATTATAGCTTCAAAAACAATAGAAACATCATATTACTACCAACACAATTTTTCTCTCTTTCACAATCAAAATTTAAAGTAACATGCAAAACCAACCTTTTTATATAAAGTTTTAACTCGATATTTTCCTAATTTAAAAGTACAAAATGTTTTTGAAATCTAAACCAAACTAATTTAAAATCTTCTTGGCAAGCAGTAACCCAGAAGAGAACTCATTCTAGAAAACCAACGCATCATCTTTTTTTTTTTTTTTTGGGGGGGGGGGGCAAGTAACTAAGTACAACTCTCTAAAATTGTTCAAATTCAAAGTTAAAAAAAAAAAGTCACGACAATAATTAAGCACAGCCACTCTAGTCTGCCTACCATTTTTGTCACAGCAGATTTTATCTTTAAGCATATTGAAAATCGGCCACTGAGGAAGACCAAAAGAAACTGCCTTGAAACTGTTGACAATTATGAGCCAGAGATGAATTGTACAAACAAACAGATTAAGAAAAGGATCCATAAGAAATTTCGTTTCCCACAATCCCAAAACACATTCAACATGCCACCCAATCATCTCCAGATGATCCGTTTCAACAACTGCGATACTGGTTCTCAAGTCATCAAATATCCATTGGAGCAACACCTTGGTCTGCACCAGCACCTTGATCAGCAGGCGGGCCATGATCAGCACCGGCATCCTCCCCACTTGCTGGCTGAGATTCAGCAGAAGGGACTTCCTCCTCCCTCACGATTTCAAAGGCATCAATCATCTGTTGTACAGTGTCCTGGTCCAATATGCGGAACGGCTCACCAACTCCAACCACGGCAACTGTGCATATGGAACTCTTGAGTTTTTCCCCTTGCAAGGTCTCCCTCGTTGCAATAAGTGCGTCTTTAATCAGATCTTCCCGTGAGGAGCCCGTAAAATTCTCAAACCTGCGTTCTAAGTACGTCTTTGCAGCTTGTGAGCGAGAACCAATTGCGAAAGCCTGATATTCAAAGTAGTTTCCACTCGGGCAGTTGTAATAGAGATGAGCTCCAGATTCATCTAATCCAGCAACCAGGAGACCAACACCATAAGGCCGTTTCCATGATCGCTGAGTACAAACCTACCAATATAATACAGATCAGAAACAGCAATCCCACAGCCACCTCAACAAAGTTACAGGCCAAAAACCTTGCAATATGATATCCAATATGCATCACTCCGAAAATAATAAATAAAAAGGCTCCACACCAATTAAATAATATACAAATATCCCCAAACCCTGAAAGAATAGCAGTCCTGGACTCCTGGTTTTGTTAAAAAAAAAAAAAAAAAATGGCAACACACAGTTGTTTTGTCTGTTGGAAATGTCCCAAAAGGGTTAAAAGAGCCTCCAGACAACCATAGAATGATGAGCCAGATTTTAGAGCTTCCTTCCAATAACCAAATCTCCGATCAACTACAAGCACATCCAAGAAGTAACAAAAAAAAAACCACTGAATTTGTCTTTAAAAAACAAAAAATCCACTCAAATTTGATATTTGGGGGAAAAACATCCTGCGGAGTTCTTCTACCTTTCAGTTTAAATGCACAAACTATGAGCCCATCAATACCTTATTTTATTCCCGTTCTTCAATTTCTGGGATCAAATTTGACTTCATTTTCATGAACAGATGGATGAGTTTTATCCAATTGAACAACTTAACTGTTGTTTAAACAAGAGAAGAAAACCTAAACAACCAATCACTCCTGATAGCTGTTGAAATTAAACAAGTACCGACTAAGAATACAAATTGAATGCAGGGAAAAAATCAGACATTCAAATCATTTGGTGATCAGAATTGTTGCCTGAATCATCAGAATCATACAAGTCATGCTGGAAAACACAATTTGCACTGTTCTAGAGGTTCCTGATAGCCTGATCCAGGGAGGGCTATGTGGGTTGCAAAGACAGGTCATCAATGGCCCAACATCCCCCCCCCCGGGGGGGGGAGTGCATGGTGATGAAGCCTCTAGTTTCATTTTAATAAAGGGACAGAATACCAGGGCCCTGTCTGTGACCTAAAAACGTTTCAAGTAAAATGCACAGCATTTCAATTGAGGGACAGAAGACAATATTATAGTTTTATAGACAGAAAAAGCAACCTTCACTTGGTGGATAGAAAATGTAGTGTTTGATTAACTAACAAATAAAAACATGTTTTGAATTATCCATTTGATTATGAAATGCAGCGTCTAGATGTATTAGGTATCATACTTTATGTCTCACCATATCAAATACTGATACAGCACAAAATAGAGCAAACAATCCTTACTAGAGTTTTGGCAAGAAACTACCACAATAAGAATAAAACCTCTAAAACTTCAACTTTATTTTACTGCCACACAACACCTCCATGTCATAGTTAACCAAACAGTATTAGCAGGTCTTAGACTGCAACTAATGCGTAGACTTGTGTTCCTTTCAACTATATGTTATTTATGGTTTATCTCATTTATATGATAACATTCCAGCTGTATTTCACTGTGTATCAAAACAATTTCCTACTAAAAAATAAGTCACTAAATCCATGATTTAATTACTCTTAATAAGATGATTTTATATTTATTGTGACTTGGGAAGTCTAAAAATTTTGAAAGAAAAACGTAAAGAAACTCAGGCAAATAGCATTGTCATCTCACGTAAGCCAGATACGTGCACTTGAAGCTAAACAACAATCCAATCCCTCTAAAACGATCAACTGTCTAGCTGGCGGCAGCAGTCTCATGCTAAATATTGACCAGATATCCGTTAAAGAGTGAGCTAACCCGCTTTCTGACAAAGATTTAAGTAAACCCACCGAACCCCCCCCCCCCAAAAAAAACACACAAACACACACACACACACACAAAGTTACTAGTAGTTATCAGAATGAAATATAAGAAAGCCAAGATGTAATAAATTAAAATAAAAACGTAAAAGCAGAAAGCCTAAATCTATCAGTTATTAGTCCCCCCCGGGGGATTTGCCAAAATGCTGTAGGCCGTGAAACAAGTTTACCCTGCACAAAATAGACACGATTAAGGGTTATATCTTCCGGAATATCAAAACCTACATCCATCCTCCTTCGACAGTGACATAACTACAGCTCCCATTTAAAAAAAAAAAAAAATTCCCGATTGAAAACAGCTCCATAACATGTCTGCTGATCTCTCAGACATGCAATGTAGAACAGAAAGCCCTAGGATTTCACTCCTAGAGAACAATAACCTCTCAAAATTAAACCTGGCAGAAATTGTTTTCTAAATTGTAAATTGGATGATTTCTTCGTAATCCATATTCCATAGTATGCACAGAATCCAACATTCTAGTCTTACTTTTAACCAATTTCTTAAAAACCCCTCACTTTCTAGGGGGTCGACTATTGAAAATTATTTCCACCCTAAAGAAAGCTGGCACCACTTGTTTCAAACAAAACCCTAGCTTATATTCCACGATCTGAACACATTTCCGTAGTATGCACTTAATCACGACTACAACAGCAGAAAATGACGGTTGGAAATGGCAAAATTGAGTAAGAAGCCACAGTTCAAAATATGACACAGACCTGGGCCTTATCAGCGAGTTGAACAACGAGTCGGCCGACAGGAAGAGGAGACTCGAAGGTATAGTTATAGTTGATACATTCGGATCGCATGTAGCGGGAGAGAACACGACCATCGGCGGTGAGACCAGCGATCGCAACGCCGATGTGGTCGTCAACCTTGAAGATCTTTTTCTGGTGAGAAGAAAGCTCGGAGTTAGCCTTGTTGACACAAGCAAGGACCACGTGGGTCTTGGATCGGAGTCCAATTGCGGCGGACCCTTGTTTCACTGCCTCCATCGCGTACTCCACCTGGAACAGCCTACCGGCGGGGCTCCATGTCGTCACGTCCGTGTCGTACTGGTTCCTGAACATTGCTCACGATGTCGTTCACCTGGCCAGAGGGTTTCCCTCTTTGGCAGTGAAATCCGAATATTAAATTAGGAACTACAAGGTCTTTCGTCTTCCCCAAGACAGATAAAACTGATGAAAGGACTTCACTATGTGGGGAATTCACCGCCAGGAATAACCTTGTGCACATTACACAGAATTCACACTCATTTCCTCTGCTTGAGTTTTGGCGCTCCAACGTTGTTTCCAACTCTAGGTGGGCTGTCCAAAAGCTTTTGGCCCAAATTATGCAATGCCCAGTTTTCGGAGGTCTAGCACGAACATTTTCTTTGCGTCTATTAAATGAAATGTTGGGCCTGACAAGGCATCTGGACGGGTGTTTTACAGGGTTTGATTGACAGAGAAATAATTAGGTCCGTTTTAAGAATAACTTCTCTTCTCATTGTATACCATCCAACATAAGAATATTGTTAGTAGATAATTTATAAATATCTTTGCAAGCATTTTAAGTCTGAAAGCATGTGAAAGGCTATGGATAGCCATGCTACCATCACCTCTCAAAATCCTCTTTCTCTTTCTTCTTGATCCAAGAATCACTCGTTTATTAGGAAGCAAATCCCCTATGCATCTCTCCCCACCGCAGCCTTATGCGACTTCTTCTCTCTCCCCCCCTCCCTCCTTTTTTCTTTTCTACATCTCATGTATATCATTAAATAAGACAAAGAATACCCACACTAATCTTAACCCCTATCACGTGGAATTGTTATTATCAACCACAACATTATATATATCTTGAAAATATTTTTGTCATATTTATTTAAGATGATTGCATGTCCCAAGACTCAAATTTAAAATTATAAAATAAGTTAATTTAACTCCCTCAACCAGTTGAATCAAATGCCTCTAAATAAAATAAATAAATAAATTTAAACTAGTAAAATTTAACTTACAATATTGCAATAAAAAAATAAATAAAAATTCTATTTATAAAAAAATTAATCATGACATAAAACTATGAGTTCTACAATTTAGATTTAAATTGTTTAAATTTATTTATTTTTATATGATAATTATTTTATAAAATAAATAAATTAAAGTTGTTAGTAAAAAACAATTAAATATGAACCATTCATTTCATTATCTCAAGGTGTAGATGAGATGAGGAGAAGAAAAGGAGAGACAAGATTATGAGAAGATCCAGATGCTTAGAGTAATCACTCACCTCTCAAAATAATTCCAAACTAACCTTAATGTAGCAAAGGGTTAACCTAGGTCATCTTCCAATAAAAATGTTCACTATTTCAATTATAAAAATTGCTTAAGTAAAATAGGTTAAATTTTAAATGTTTATGGTTCAAATTGATCATTAAAGCTAACAAAATAAGGAAAACAAGTTAGGGGAAGAATTAAAGTGTTTGATAATGAAGCATGAATGGGTAGGTTCCCAGAGTTTGAATTAAGGAGAATTCCTTGCCACGTAAGTCATTAACTAAGAATTATGCTTTCACTAGTCAAAAGTGCAATTAAATTCAACTAAATCTAGTTGGCTTTAGATAATATCCCAAACTTAGTCATAAATTATGTAAGCAAAGTCATGACCATCACTTAAATGAAGACTCCTGATGTGTTTTTATCTCACCAAGGCACATCTCTCTCTCTCTCTACACTCAAGTATTATGTAACATCCTCAAATTTTAAACTAGGTGAATTAAGCTTGAACTTGATTAGATTGAGTTTATTAGTGAGGTGTGTGATTAAAGAGGTTTAACGGGCGTGTTTAGTTTTACTTTCAGCCTTAAAAGCAAATTCGAAAGGGAATCAAGTCACTTGGGAATGAAAGAGAAAAGAAATATAAAGGGCAAGGCTCTGTGCCATACATCATGACTTGTGGATCAAGATGCTGCGATGCATGCATACTAACACGCTTAGGGGAGATGCTCTCTGTGCCATGCATCACAGTGCATGGACACTTTTCTACAAAATAAGAACGCGACTGATGCAACAAAAGAGGGAAAAGCAAAAAAAGGTGAAGAGAAATGAAAAGAGTAATGCAAGGGCTTGAGGAAGTCGACAGTTGGGAGTACTTTGGAGATATAAACATTAATAGTAAGCTTCCTACATCTAACTCTTCATATCTTCTTCTTATTCCTTAATGTTAGAAGCTAGGGTTCGGGTGAAAATGATAATTTTTTGTCCATATAGGTTATGAATCCAAATTCATTAACTTAAATAGAGTTAATATAAGTATATTGAACTAATAAAACTTAATATTTATAGATCTATGATGATTGGTGGTTGGGGAGCATTTAATATGTAAAATTTCTCATAAATATGTTAGTTGGGGACAATGTAATTTCATTAATGGCCATTAAAGAGCTTAATGATGTTAAATAGGGTTAGAGAAAGTTAAGAAAACTAATGGGTATTTTCATAGAGTAAAGAATGAATCTTAAGAATGAAGAAGTGTTGAGTTAATAGTGAAAATTAGCTAAAATGTGGATATTAATGAAATGTATTGTAAATGTTTGTAAAGCAATTATTTTGGCACCATTGAAGCTTCTTGAAAGCTTCAGGAGTGAGTATTTAAAGAGTTTAACCTCTTAAAAGTTTAAGATAGCCGAGAGAATTTTATCTTTTATTTTTGTATGTTAATTAATTTATTATTGATATTTAATAATTAAATTATGTGAGATTGATTGAAATGCAAATGTGGTATGATTTGTCTGAAAAACTCACTATAAGGTAGTTAACTAATGTAGTTTAATAATTTTAAAATTATAGAGTTCAATGATTGTGAATATATGAGGTACAATGATTATGAAAATCTGAAATTCAATGACTTATTTTATTTGAAGATCAATGATATGAATTGTGACCCTGATGTTGATAATCGTGAGTTTAACCTAATTCCATGCACAATTATACTTAATATGTGAATGGTACAATGAAATCGAGATCATAAAGTTCAATAAAACGTGAGGTTAAGGAGTTCAATGAATTTGTGAATAGAAGTTCAATGAAATAGATAAGTGGAGTTTAATGAATTGATTAGGTGTGTTTTATGTGATTGTCATGTATATGATTGGGTACAACGATAAGTAAATGCTTACTTGAAATGGTACATATCTACATATTACATGATCTTGAGAGATGAGAGTTTGCCTAGATAGAGAGGTAGAGATTTAAATTCATATAGTAAGACTCCTATTAAAGTTGATGGTTTGCCTGGATTGTTATTTATATATATTGTCCCACTAGTTCAACGAGGGACTCAAATTTAACTAGTTATCTACTGATTTAACGAGCAAGTTAGTCTAGGGAGAATAGCACCCTATAGTGTGAGAAGATGAGGAAAACCGTGTTCCACAAGTGAGTAGAAAAAATCTTGGACGAGTAACTCCTCACATGTGTTTAGGCTAGGGAAGTGCCAAATCATAGATTATCCCAATATATTATAGCCTATGGTTTCATGTCAGAAGAATAAGGAGGATATAAAAGAGGTGTGATCATGCATATAGTGAAAAAGGGCACATAGTTGTTATATTGTGACTCTAGCAAAATAAAACATGTGAAACCCTTATTCTTTATAAAATGACATTAATTTGATTCCTATCTCATGAATGTGTATTATTACAAATGAGAATGTGGATATACGTTCTTAAAACATGTGTTATAATCATTATCATTCATGATCTCAAGTATATGTCTTCATGAAAATGAAAAGAATCAATTATTTTCGTGATCATACCTATATTTGAAATTGCTTTTGAATTTACTACTTGCATTTAAATTAATTGACATGTATTAGTATAAGTTAGTTGGATTTTGATTACTGAGTGGTTGTACTCACTTTACTATCTTTAATATTATAGGGAATAGCTCAAGAGAATTAGATAAAGGAAAACAACCAGAGGCATAAGACTACCATCCTATTAGCAGGCCCTTTTATTTTGAGTATTTATGTATATATGATGATTGAAATTGTCAACTAAAAATAATTCATATTTTTACATCTTACCTGTATGATGTATTTTGAGTTATAAGTGTATTTTGAGTCTTAGGGTATGTGTTTGTGATTTTTATGGCATTGATAGTAGGGCCAAAATACTAGTACAAGTGAGAGTTGGATATAACTTGAGTATTTTATGGATTATTTAATAAAATGGATAATTTTAGCTCCCTTTTTTGTTTTTAAATTAAGGAGTTGAGTGTTGAAAATGTGATTTATAAGTGTTTTGCATGATGTGATATGTTGCATGTAACAGCCATCACCCCACCCCACCAGGGGTCTTTTAGACTGGAGCCTTAACCACTCACGCAACGGGCCCAGCTTTCCACAAGGTGGTACTTGGGTTATTCCTTACCCCACCAAAGAGGTTTTTTGGAGCCTTTCTAGACTCGAACCCCTAACCTCTATCACCTTAAGGAAGTTGAGGCTAAGTTTGGTACCATTGAGTAATAATTTGGTTATGAAACCAAAGCTATTAGTTAAAACTTAGAAAAAACTTTCTGTAGACACCTAATTTGCTTCAATCAGATGTCAGAAGGAGAATTGGGGCTTGTCAAAAGTTGCTTTAAATGCTGTCAAATTGATAGCAGGAGTTTGCTGTTATGAACTATGCAATGCGCCGCCGCACATGGCACAGAGGCAAACTAGCTATTGCACTTATTTAATGAGCCGCAATGCATGCCCCTGAAAATCACAAAATTGCATTGTTTTATGAGTTCTGAACATATGCACTAGTCCTTAAGGTAATCCCATGCTTTCGCACAGTTAATAACTTTAATTTGTCTATTTCAAAATCTTTAAAAATGATTTTAGTTTTAAAAACTTAGGATCTCAATTTTACCACTTACTTACAAACTTGGTAAATATATCATTTACCTTAAGCCAATCTCTTTAATTATGGAGATTTAGAGTTAATCATAATTTAGAAGGAGGACATTACACACTATAAGATTATGTAACACAAAGGCAAGGCTAAAAATAAATCCACAATATTATGCAAGACTAATCCAAGCAAATTCCCATTAATAAATTACAAAAATATGCAATTCATCCACATGGCAGCATTAAGAAAAAGTTAAAATTATAGGAAAAATTCAAACAAGTCATCTTCCATTGCAATAATAGTCTACTCAAATTAGAGTCTAAGCCAATCACAA